GCAGCTGAAAGCCGCTATGGAAGAATTCAAGGATTATACAGTCATTATGTAAAAGAAAATAATGTAGTTTACATAAAACACTGGTTCAATTTGAGCAACGTACTTTTCATCGCCACTGTCACTACTGAACCATGTGACCTTGGATAAGTCATTCTGTCTTTCAGTAACCCAAATTTTTTTTTCTTTTTTAATTTGACAAGTGAGGGCTTTAAATTAAGTGATCTTTTGGGTCTTTCTAGCGTTAAAATTCTATAAGTTACTCTTTACTAACATATCCTTTATAAAGGAAATAGATTTGGAATAAAAAGGAAAGTAATATGGCAAAAGTTATGGAAAAACATCTTTTTTTTGGCTTAAGGAAGAATGCCAAAAAAAGGATGTAGGTGGAACATGGAAAGAAAATGAATGGGAAAAGTAGGAAAGTAAATTAATAGGCAGGAGTTAAAGTTATAATGGGTATGCAGGGTATTGAGGTACTCTTGGAATAAATACATGATAATTTTATATCAGTTAGAAGTAATACTTAATGAACCCTTCGGCAATGCTACCATTATGAATTTTAGAGATAAGTAATATGGTCTTGGCCTTTAGGAATGAATTATCTAGGAATATAAACTCTCCCCTGCCTACTCACCTTCTTCTGTAGATTCCAATTTAAGACACTCATAAAGACCGTTCTCCTTATTTTCTATTTGAGGATCACTTGAAATTTTCAGCGGTAGGGTTTCTCATTAGCATAATGTGGCACTAGTTTGCTTAATGATGTAGATCTTGGGATTTTAATAATATATAGTATTAATGGTCCTACTTAATGTAACTTACTAAGGTTTGCATTTTCCTAAATGTAAAATATTTAGGAGACACATCCAGGATGTTTAGGAGAACAAAGAGCTATGACAGCCTGCTGACGACCTTAACTGGTGCTGGAATCCGAATTCTTTTCAGTTCCTGCCAAGAAGAAACTGCAGATTTGCTAAAGGAATTGTCTTTAGTGGAACAAAGAAAGAATGTTGGTATTCATGTTTCAACAGTGGTGAACAGTAATAAATGTGAGGCACTTCAATTTTATCTCAGTATTCCCAATATAACTTATATAGCTGCACTGAATATGTGTCACCAGTTTTCATCTGTGAAAAAGATGACAAATAGGTATGTGTTTTAATATTTATTTATTTGGTTGCGCAGGGTCTTAGTTATGGTAGGTGGGCTCCTTAGTTGCAGCACACGGGCTCCTTAGTTGCAGCATGTGGGCTCCTTAGTTGTGGCATGTGAATTCTTAGTTGTGGCATGCATGTGGGATCTAGTTCCCTGACCAGGGATCGAACCCGGGTCCCCTGCATTGGGAGCACGGAGTCCTATTCACTGCACCACCAGGGAAGTCCCTGATTTAATATTTTTAAATGGTTACTTTAAAATCATCCTTGAAGGCATTTCATAGGAATTTTTTTCTTTTTTTGCGGTACGCGGGCCTCTCACTGGTGTGGCCTCTCCCGTTGCGGAGCACAGGCTCCGGACGCGCAGGCTCAGTAGTCGTGGCACACGGGCTTAGTTGCTCCGCGGCATGTGGGATCTTCCCGGACTGGGACACGAACCCGTGTCCCCTGCATCGGCAGGTGGACTCTCAACCACTGCACCACCAGGGAAGCCCCCATAGGAATTTTAATATTTTTAAAAATAAAGAGGTATAGTGCCTGTTAGATTCTTTCAGTAAAGACTTTGCTTGTCAACATGTATCAGTCACTGCATTAAGCTGAGGACATTAATGGAAGGAAAAAAAAAAACGTAGGCATTGTCTTTGAGTAGCTTAGAGCCCTGTGGGGAGACAGACAGCACTTAATTTGATCTTGCAGTCTCACATTTCTGGGCTGGTTAGTTCTGTAACTAGAAAAATGTTCAAGTTGAAAATTTTAGTAGGCTCTAATGATTTTATTGCTTGAAAATCAAACGAAGGCTTTAGAAAATAGGTTAAACTAAAGGCTCAAATAAGATGTTGAAATTATTATTATAAATGATTTTAAATATAGGGAATAGGCTTTTATTTAAACTAATGCTAAGACATAATCAACTGAATGTAGAAAACTTGGGAAAAAATGATTTTCTTAAAGGATTTTATGTTTGGTATTCTTTAAGCAAGAATATTGAATTTTATAAGTCAGAAGTTTTAGTATAATGTTTTTGTTTATTTTTCAGCTCACCTCAGGAAATCTCCATGTATGCACAAGTAACTCATCAAAAAGCTGAGGAGATCTATAGATATATTCACTATATATTTGACATGCAAATGTTGCCAAATGATCTTAACAAAGGTAGTTTTAAATCTGATGCATGATCAGACTGCTCAGGGTGGGTTATCAAAGAACCCTCACAATACTAAATGCACTTCAATAATCATTGCTGTGGTTTGTGATTATCAGTTTAAAATATATTAATATGTCCATATCTGTTATTTTACACTGTGTACATTTTTATTTATATAGAATATATAAATGATTTAAAAAAATCTGATGTTTAATAATCATTTTGTTTAGATAATAAAACTTTTTTATTGAACGAAAAGCTTATTGAAGGTACTATTAAGTAAAAGCTAGAGTGAAAGATATATTTTAGAATTTTCCCAAAGATTATAGTGCTATCATTGTCATTTGTTAGCATTATAGGTTGATGTGTCTGCTGCCAGCTTAATGGTCATAAACAATTTTTCTCATATATCAACTATATTGAATAGATGTGGGTGGTAGGTGTATTGTGAGATAATGCCCCAGTAACTAGGAAAGTAGAAAATTTAACTGAATCCTAGTTAACAGTCTAATCCTAGTAGTATGAACTCTGATCTATACTACTTTTTTTGGTTGAAGTACGATATTCAAAGAAGTGATATCTTGGAGTTGGAAAATTTCAGTATAGAAGAGCTATGGAATGTGGACTTTCATCGTGACCCATAACACTGTGTCTGTTATGCTACTAATTGTTGGGTAGTTGAACCAACCTCACAGCAGAGGGTTTCACTTAGACTTGGCATGGACTTCAAAGCTGATCTAATTCAAATTGCTTTACTTGTTCCTTTCTTATCAGATGATAAACGTGAGGCCCAGAGACAAGTGACTTACTCAAGTTTAGACTGGGAAATCTAGAACAAGAACCCAGGAACTAGATAGTTTTCTTTCACTAAAAAAGTTGCTCTGATCGTGAACTTAGCTCCTTTGGGATAGTATAGATTCTGAATTCTACTAAAGCAGTTAATCTCTTATTTCTGCTATTTAATAATTCTGTCAAAGCCAGAAAGAAAAGAAGTTCTATAAATTATTGGCTCATGTGCAGTTCTCAATTTGTTCTCTCTCAGGTTCAAATTCATCCTTCAGTATCTCACTCCATTATAATGGACTGGACTTTTTGAGCATTTCTCCCTAGTGAGCATGATTTGAGCTTTGTCAAGTAGAAGGAGGAAAGGGACTTCTTTTTCTGGTTCCAGTGTGCTGTTTTTTTTGCTGCTACTCACTCCTGTTACATGGTATCAGTGGTGCATTGGGTAGGGGACATCTGGTGCTCTGTGCCCTGGCTGCACACCAGAAGCATGCAGTCCCTCAACAACCTCACATTGCCCTGGACTGATGACCTCCTTGCAGCACATCTCATGCAGACACCAATGTCTTCAGATTCTGTGTGTTCACCCAACAGACAAAATATTTCATAAATTGATATGGTTTGAGGGACATAACCTAGAGGATTTCATTTATTTATGCTTGCTGTGTAGAGACCTCTATCCATATTTAAGCTGCAACGGCCTCTTTCTATACACTTCACAGGTTGCACTTAACTATGAACCCTATAGTTTATTGATCCGTCTTACTGTCTTTGAGCCCTTCAAGTCTTTCTTTTCCACTTTTAAGTCTCCTTTGGAGGTTACCTTAAACCTTACTAGTTTATCTAATGACCCAATGGAAAGAAACGGGAATAACTAGGTACCTGGAAGGTGGGATACAATAGTTTTGATAGGACACATGGAATATGGGGAGTGGGGGTACGTTGTGGTTTGTGTCAAGTATATGCTATTTCAAAAATTATCTTTTTGTTTCGTATTACAGAATTTAACTACCTTCTAATTTTTTTAAAAATTTTTATTGGAGTATAGTTGATTTACAATGTTGTGAATACCTTCTAATTCTTAAAACACTATCCACTAACATCAAGCAGCATGGTATTATACCAAATATTGGCAACTTAGAGTTCTACAACAGAATTTTTTAGAGCTACTCTAAAATAACCCTTTCATTTGTTTCATCCTTCATCTATCAAAAAATCTCTGTGGCAGAAACTATCATGGTAGTTTAAAGGAGAGTGATCTGTTTGCTTGCACTATTCTTCTTAAATCTTGTGTTTCTACAAATCCTGTAGTTCTTTAGCTGCTGATTATTACTGACTAAATTCTTAAGAAACAAGAAAGTATACTTTTTCTAACAGTTCTGGTATTTTTCAAGGAAATGAACTGAACCATTAACAAACAAAATGCATTTTTTCTATGATCCAGTAATTGGAAAAACCAACCAAAACATGAATATTATAAAAGCAAATTTACTTTATTTGAACAACCTACCTGGAGAGAAAGAGTGGGTAAATGCGTACTATAACCAGAGGGAAAAAAATTCTGTCAAATTTTTTTTTAAAAGAAGATGTTGGGAGTACGAGTTTATTAATTAATTAATTAATTTTTGCTGTGTTGGGTCTTCGTTTCTGTGCGAGGGCTTTCTCTAGTTTGTGGCAAGTGGGGGCCACTCTTCATCACAGTGCACGGGCCTCTCACTATCGTGGCATCCCCTGCTGCGGAGCACAGGCTCCAGACACGCAGGCTCAGTGCCCGTGGCTCACGCGCCCAGTCATTCCGCGGCATGTGGGATCCTCCCAGACCAAGGCTCGAACCCGTGTCCCCTGCATTAGCAGGCAGATTCTCAACCACCGCGCCACCAGGGAAGCCCTATGTCAAATTTTAAAGCATAATGGCATAATATGCTAAAAGAAGTTTATTTCTAAAGAAGCTGTCTGAAAGGAAAACAGTGTTTACTATGACATGACATAGTAACTTGACTCCTTACAGTAAAAGAGCTATAACCTGAATGTTTGTCTAATCCAGTCTTTTAAATATTGAGACCAAATTTACGCCATGTCTGCTTAAGAATACAACAAAATCTGTTCTCTTATTCTACCTAATAAAAATACTGAAAAAGCAATAAATTAAATTTACATAGGTTTCATGAATGTGCCAATCACAAGTTTTAAGAAAAACAATCAGGAGAAAGCTTGTCAAATGGTTTAAACAACATGTACTGATAACTGAAACATTAGATCAACTCTGGCTTTTATACCAAGTGGTGACAACTGGTAACCTAAAGTTTTCATGAACTCAGTAGCTACCAATACAATCTATTTTTTAATTCTCCCCCACCTCTCCCCTTAAGGATAGCAACATTTTCTTGAATGCTTCTAAAAAAATCTGTATGGAACATGATTTTCTTAAACAGACTAAGATGCTTATGAGAGACATCTATATATAACACATGAAACCTATGAAAAAGAGTCTGCAATTTCATATGAAGCTACATTATAAAAAAAAAATACATCCTTCAAATGAAGATACAGATACACTATCTGCTTCTTGATAAACATCCTGGAAGTGTTCTCATTTTTACTATGCAGAATCAGAGTTCGAAAAATAAGAATCTTTCTCTTCTTCCTCTAAAGACTCCATAGCATTAGTGAAAAGTTTTCCAATACCAGAGTTTTCTGCTAATTCTGTAAAGAGAAGTTTAATAAAAAGATTAATATATTTCTAAAAACAATTTCAATGAAATTAATAGGAAACCAATTGGTAGATCTGCCCACTTGTGAGCAATAAATTTTAATACTATGTTAATAAAGAGGCTACCCTATAATAGAACAGAGCTACAAAAGAAAGATGTAAGTATATTACCTTTGTTAAATGGGGTTTTTCTTCTTGATGGTGGAGTTGAAAAATCACTTTCAATCTACAAGAGAGTTCATATTAGCTAAGTGATGCCTCCTCTGAAGCCTGCTTCACATGTAGACAAAATTCAAGCATGCTTTATCCCAATAAAACATTACAAACTAATGCTACAGTGGTTAAAGGATAGCCTCTGAAAGTTGCCAAAATCTACTGAGTACTTATTCCATTACACTAGCAAAATTTGAATTCTCTGTACTTTAAATTCTTGGCTAAAATAATAATTTATATGGCACGTTTTAAGTATATAATGCATGTTTATATATACATCAGTGCTTTTTAAACTACTGGCCATGGCTATCTTTAAAAAATGAAAATGAATAGACCAGAAAAGAAAATATGACAGAGTATACCCACTGTACTAAGGATAAGTATTATTGAAAGAAACTTTAGATATACAAACTCGTGTTCATAGATTGCCATGGAAATGTATTTTTTCCTGTGAAATGAGTCAAAACACTATTACAACATTTAGCCCTCAAAAATCAATGAGATAAACCAGTATCATCATGATCAAAAGGAGGAACCAAAATGGGAGAATGGAACGACATGAAACTCACCTCTTCCCACAAATACATCAAAAATACATCTACATGGGGAGCATTTTCTCAGGATAGCTTACTGAACACTGACAAAAGATATCAGACACCCAGAAGTGCAAGAAATATCTCCATATAACCCAGTAGGATGAAAGAAAAAATAAAGGAATTGGGATGAGACCTGCGGCACTGGGAGGGAGCTGGAAAAGGGGAAACGTTCCCGCACTCTGGGGAACCCCTTAACTTGTGGGAAGATCAGCTGGAACAGAAAGGGAGAGCACAGAAGCCAGCTGGTGGCAGGCAGAACAGACAGACACTAGCACAGAGGATCTGTGCTACCTCACTGCAATCCCCAGCCTGAGATGGTCACCTGGTGTGTGTGTGTGTGTGTGTGTGTGTGTGTGTGTGTGTGTGTGTACAATGGGATGACTGAGTGCTGAAACTTGGGCTTCAGAGGACACACCTGGGGAGAGTACTGGGGTTGGCTAAACGGAGACAGCCTGAAGGGGCTGGTGAGTAGTTATAGGGCCTCAACCGAGGGTGTATGTGGAAGAAGCCCAGGCCGCCACAGAAGCCAATCACTGTTGCTAAGGGGTGGGGTGCATGAAGGAAGAGAGGGGCGGGGCCTGCCATAGCAACCTCTTTCTTGGGCTCTGGGAGCAGGACAATGGGTGCTCCTGTGGCTGGGATGGGACTAGCCTCGCAGCTGTAGGCTTTGTGTGTGACTGCATGCAGAGGCAGGGCTGGGGTCTGGGCTGCTTCCATAGCTCCCATGGTGGGTCCAGGTATGTGACTGCTGTGGTCCTGGTACCTAACTTTAGTGGATCTGCCCTGGCGGCTTTGTGAACACAGTGTCTGAGGGACACCACAGCCGACTACCTGCATTCCCACGGTGGAGGCGGGACCACGGGCAGTGCCAGTGACAGTGTACTTTGTGGGCTTGCACAGGTGACACACAGAGCGTACCCCCCAGTGGACAGCTCGAGCAATGGAATACTCAGTGGCTCTTCTCTCAGTGGGAGAGCTCCAGTTTCACCTACCTCACACTGCAGCTCAGAAACGGACCTAGGGGCTTCTATTCCAACAACTGGGGAGCAGATGCTGCCCCCAACAGGGCTGTGACAACCAGAGAGCAAAGAAGAGACCCTGCTCAATATCCAGTGCAGGCTCTAGTCACCACACAAGTCATACCCCCTATGAAAGGGACCCTGGCCAGCACACACTGAAGGAAAATGCAGCAGGCATCCCTACTAGAAACAGCCCATGCACCAAAAATATTAGACTTATGCAGGCTACAAAGGGATGCTCCCACATAAAAACAGCCCTTCAAGGCCACAGTAAATAATTATTTCTCCTAAGCTCACAGAGTCAGAGAAATAAAAGTAAAATGAAGAAGTAGTGGAACCACTCCCAATTAAAAGATCAAGAGAATTCTCCTGAAAGAACAAAACAGACCTCTTCAGTCTAATAGACACTGAGTTCAGAAAGGAAATAATGAAAATACTGAAGGAATTAAGAAGGGCTATTGATAGAAATGAAGATTACTGTAAAAAGAAACTAGAAACTATAAAGAGGAACTAAGAAGAATTGCAAAACTTATTTGCCGAGATGAAAGCTGAGCTAAAGGCAATGAATAACAGAATGAATAATGCAGAGGAACAAAGAAGTCATCTGAAAGAATAAGAGAAGTCACCCAATTAGAACAGCAGAGAGCCAAATGAAAAGAAAAATGAAACCAACAGAAGAGACCTATGGGATAATATAAAGCATGCCAATCTGCACATAATAGGGATCCCAGAAGGAGAAGAAAGAAAAAAGGGGATTGAAATGTATCTGAAGAAATTATGGTTGAAAACTTCCCAAACCTAAAGAAGGAAACAGATATCCAGGTACAGGAAGCACAGAGGGTCCCAAACAAGATGAACCCAAACAGACCTACACCAAGACATAATTAAAATGGCAAAAGTTAGAGGATTCTAAAGGCAGCAAGAGAAAAACAAAGATTTAATTATAAGGAAACCCTCATAAGGCAATCAGCTGATTTCTCTACATAAACACTGCAGGCCAGAAGGGAATGGCAGGATATAAAGTCCTGAAAGGGAAACCCCTGCAACCTAGGATACTCTACCCAGCAAGATTATCATTTAGAATAGAAGGAGAGATAAAGAATTGCTCAGACAAGCAAAAACTAAGAGTACACCTATCCTAAAGGAAGACCTATCCTAAAAGGTCTTCTCTAAATAGAAAAGAAGCAAGAATCTATAGGAAAGAGAAAATCACAATTGGAAAGTAAATCAATTAAATAAGCCAGGACACAGACTAAAAAAAAAAAAAATCAAAACATTTCTGTGAAAGTGATGATAACCACAATGAACAGCAAAAGGATTAACATGAAGATGTAAAAGAAGACATCAAAATAATAAAAATGTGGGGAGGAGAGTAAGAAAATGTACATTTTTTTTTTCTAGAATGTGTTTGAGCCTATATGACTACCAGTCTAAAGCAAGTAGATATAGGAAGGGGTTAACATACTTGAAAAACAGTAACCACAAATCAAAAACATACAATAGATGCACAAAAACCAAAAAGAACACAAGGATAAAGAAAACCATCAAACTGCAAAAAGAAAAAGAAAAAGAGACAAAGAAGAAATATAAAATCAATGGAAAAACAAGGTTTAAGCAGCAATAAATTCATATCTATCAATAATTACCTTAAATGTCAATGCACTAAATGTTCCAATAAAAAGACACAGAGTGGCAGATCGGATAAAAAACCAACAACTTACAATATGCTGCCTACAAAGAGACCCACTTTAGGGCAAAGAACACACATAGATTGAAAGTGAGGGGATGGAAAAAGATATTTCATGGAACGGGAATGACAGGAAAGCAGAGGCCGCAATACTCATTATCAGACAAAACAGACTTTAAAACAAAGAAAGATAAAGAAGGACACTATAAAATGATAAAATGATCAAAACAAGAAGAGGATATTACACTTGTCAATATATATGCACCCAATATAGAAGCACCCAGAGACATAAAACAAATACTAACAGATATAAAGAGAGAAACTGATGGGAATACAATAATAGTAAGAGACTTTAACACCTCACTCACATCAATGGACATATCTTCGAGACAGAAAATCAATAAGGCAACAGAGATCCTAAATGATACAATATCATCATGATCCCCACTTCATACCACATATGAATAAAATGAGATTAGAAAGCTCAAGTAGCTTGCCTTGTCATAAAGCTGGTATGGAGTCAGACCTTGAAATCAGAAGTTTTAATACTAAATCCTTTGTTCTTTCTATCCTCACATACTCACTGGCTACAAATGAAACCAAAATTTCATTCTTGTAAGGAGTGGACTGGAAAAAGAAAATCTGAGAAACACTGAGAGGGCGTCTGCCCACACCTTCAGTTATGGAGTAGAGGTTTCTTTTGAAGAATTTAGTCTCCAGACTGATTTTAAACCAAGGTTCCCAGAGGTATCTACCATTTCCTGTGGACAAATAAAGCCTACAAAGATTAGGTCTGATTAGGTAATCCTAATGTTAAGTTTAGAGACTCTCTGAGAGGAACTATAGCAGGTGTGCAATATAAATATTTCAGTGTGGGTGAGGGAGAAAGATGGCCATAACCTGGTCAGAAGGAATATACCCTCAGGGAATAAGGTAGTCTCCCATTTTACCTCCATCCAGAAATTATCATTCTCTAAGAATGGCTATTTACTTTGAGGAAATTTGAGGTGAATTAGCTTTTCCAGAATACTTATAGTTTTATCTGGATATAAATTATTCAGATTAAAATCAGAAATTAAAAATTTAAAAATTAATTCAAGAGGATTCTCCTAATCTTTTCTCAAAGGGATACACATCACTGTAAGGCAATTCTGAGTTAAAAGTTTTTCTGTAATTACATTTTGAGTTAAAATTTTTTCTGTTATTGACATACACACACACATAAAATCAAGTAGCTGAATCTGAAAAAATATGAAACCATTTTGAACCTGCAGAGGATTTAATGAAATTTCTTATTCTATGACAATCACAACTCAATTAGTGTGGATTATTCCCCAATCATTGAATAGATATGCTTTTGTCTTGTGTGAAATGTCTCTAACCTATATGTGTTCTTTCCACCCTGCCAGACTCCTCAAATGAAAATTCTCACCTTGCTCAAATGCTTCAGTCTATGAGCTGCCATCCATAATCCTACAGCACTTAGGTACTTACCTCACTCATAGCCTCATAATTTACTTGTATTAGGCTGTAAGCAACTTGAAGGCAGGGACTGTTATATAACATAACTATAACAATTTGCCATATATTATAGTTGTTCAATAGGTATGTGTTGAATAAATGAATGGTGAATAAAAATACTTACTGTTTTTTTCTTGATATTGCCCCAGACAGTGCCACCTTTACTTTTATGGGTTTTTTGCATACGAAAAACATATTTATCACAGTCAGCCCTGTTTAAATATAAAATAACAGGTCAACATTAACTACCATACTTTTATCCACAGGTTGAATAGCAACTGACAAAATGAATTTAAAATGTTTCAATATTTTAAAAGTACATTTTCTTTTCCATTTTTAAAAAGGCAATCATGTACCAATGGAAATAGACAAAATGCTTCAATCTAAGACTGTTTTGGGAAATGATGGTTTACCCATTGTCTTTTGTCCCATTTGTGCTCTTTCCACTCTCTATCTTGCTGCCTGTCTTTTCTAAAACTCACAGAGACTTCTTGTCCCTTGATTCGCTTTTGTTATACCTTTCACTCCTTTCTCTTATTCATGTCTTCCTTCCCTCTCCAGATTGAATCTTAAAAGTTGATCACTTTAAGGATAAGTCTGGTGATGAAAGCCCTCAATTAATTTATGGCTTCCAACTGTGTTTAGTCTTCAGTTCAGCTCATAAGCCTTTTATTTCTACATAGTTACATCTTTCTTATATCCCCCACACCAACTAAGACTTTTTTTTCATTTCTTTTTACCTTACCTCTCTCCCTTCTCATTCTTTGCAAATAAGCTTGACTCATAATTTACAGATGAAAACTGAAGCCACATGTAATGTCGTTCTCAATTTCCCCAACAATTACTTATGACAGTAAATCCAGCTGAACACCAATTCTAATTCTCTCTTTTGGCTTCAAGAGCCTGTATGATTGACTATCCTTTCCTTTATGACTATTTGGGAGCAACCTTAAAGGTATGATGTGTAGAAATGTGTAAATGTGTGACATATTAAGATATTAATGTGAACCACAAACTCTCCTGCATAGCAGGTGAATAAGCCTAGCCAGTGGTTCAGGATCAGCATCTCATGGGTCTGTTGTCCTGAACAAACCAGAGACTTGGGGATTAATAAAAAAAACTGTTTTGTTACTTAATATTGTTATGAGAAGGAAACTAACTGCTCGAGGTGGTGAAGTCAAGAGATTGAAGAGGTCTAGGAAACTCATATTTTAAAAATAAAGAAGTTTTAGGAAATATATTCTTGGTATAAATGAGCCCACCATATGCTCTGTAAGAAAAAAAGCCATTTTCCTTAATTGTAAAAGTGATACATATAAAAAAATAACGTGACAACCTGTATCAGTGTAATTCTACAATATAGAGATAATGGCTGGTGATATTTTTGGTCAAGAAATTTCCTTTCTCTTATGAATACATGTTATGTAAACTGGGATCATACTGTATGTAGTTTTATTTCTTAGCTTTTAAAAATTATCCACTGAACATTATGTCATTAAAAATTCTTGAAGGCATCATTTTAAATTGTTATATATTATTCTATTATATGGACAAATCCTAATTTCTTTATTTTTAAAATTTATTTTTTTATTTTTGGCTGTGTTGGGTCTTCGTTGCTGCATGCCGGCTTTCTCTAGTTGTGGTGAGCGGGGTACTTTTTGTTGGGGTGCACGGGCTTCTCACTGCGGTGGCTTCTCCTGTTGCGGAGCAGGGGCTGTAGGCGCACAGGCTTCAGTAGTTGTGGCTCGCGGGCTCTAGAGCATGGGCTCAGTAGTTGTGGCACACAGGCTTAGTTGCTCCACAGCACGTGGGATCTTCCCGGGTCAGGGCTCGAACCCGTGTCCCCTGCATTGGCAGGCAGATTCTTAACCACTGCGCCACCAGGGAAGTCCAACAAATCCTCATTTCTTGACTTTCCTTACTGTTGGACATTTAGGTCATTTCCAAATTTTCAGTATTGTTTTGTGGTGAACATCTCTGTTCATACAAATGTGCATACATACTTGCCCAAACCTCATATTTCCTCAGAAATAAAATTCAAGGGCCAAAGGGATGACTATTTTAAAGCTAATGATTTGGCCAAAGTGCTTACCAAAAACTGTGTCCAAAATTATATGCTTCCCAGAAATAAACCCACACACCTCTGGTCAATTAATCTTCAACAAAGGAGGCAAGAATATACAATGGAAAAAAGTCTCTTCAGCAAGTGGTGTTGAGAAAGTTGGACAGCTACATGTAAATCAATGAAGTTAGAACACACCCTCACACCATACACAAAAGTAAACTCGATATGGCTTAAACTCTTAAATATAAGACATGACACCATAAAACTCCTAGAAGAGAACATAGGCAAAAACATTGACATAAATGATACCAATGTTTTCTTACATCAGTCTCCCAAAACAATAGAAATAAAAGCCAAAAATAAATAAATGGGACTTAATCAAACTTACAAGCTTTTGTAGAGCAAAGGGAACCATAAACAAAACGAAAAGACAGCCTACAGACTGGGAGAAAATATTTGCAAATGATGTGGCCAACAAGGGCTTAATTTCCAAAATATACAAACAGCTCATACAACTCAACCACAAAAAAACAAACAACCCAATCGAAAAATGGGCAGAAGACCTAAATAGACATTTCTCCAAGGAAGACATATAGATGGCCAACAAACACATGAAAAGATGCTCAACATCACTAATTATTAGAGAAATGCAAATCAAAACTACAGTGAGGTATCACCTCACACCAGTCAGAATGGCCATCATCAAAAAATCTACAAACAATAAACACTGAAGAGGGTTTGGAGAAAAGGGAACCCTCTTGCACTGTTGGTGGGAATGTAAATTGGTGCAGCCACTATGGAGAACAGTACGGAGGTTCCTCGAAAAGTTAAAAATAGAGTTGCCACGTGATCCAGCAATCCCACTCCTGGGCATATATCCAGACAAAACTATAATTCAAAAAGATAACATGCACCTCTGTGTTCATTGCAGTATTATTCACAATAGCCAAGACATGGAAGTAACCTAAATGTCCATCAACAGATGAATGATGAAGATATGGTACATATACACAATGGAACACTACTCAGCCATGAAAAAGAATGAAATAATGCCATCTGCAGAAATATGGATAGACCTAGAGACTGTCATACAGAGTGGAGTTAAGTCAGAAAGAGAAAGACAAATACCATGATATCACTTATATGTGGAATCTAAAATATGACACAAATGAACCTATCTACCAAACAGAAACAGACTCACAGACATAGAAAACAGACTTGTGGTTGCCAAAGGGGAGAGGGGGTGCAGGAGAGATGGATTGGGAGTTTGGGATTAGCAGATGCAAACTATTATATATAGAATGGATAAACAACAAAGTCCTACTGCATAGCACCGGGAACTATATTCAATATCCTGTGATAAACCATAATGGAAAAGAATGTGAAAAAGAATATATATATGTATAACTGAATCACTTTGCTGTACAGTAGAAATTAACATTGTAAATCAACTATACTTTAATAAAATAAATTTTAAAAAATTAAAAAAATTATATGCTCAATATACTTTCACCTGCACTAAATACTAAATTAAAAATAATTTGTGAATTGCTAGGGAAAAATTATGTTTTTGCTGAATAAATGCAAATTAAAATTTCACTAAGCTTCATGAGAGTACTAAGTGCTTTTTTTTTTTTTAGTCATGATCATCTGGCTTCTCTCTCTCACACCCCATGGAAATTGCTCTTAAGATCAGCACTGGCCTGCTTAATTGCCAAATGAATAGCCTATTTTCAGGCCTCATTTTTACCATTTTCCGTTTTTTTCTCTGTGTTATATGACTGTTGGCCACCCATATGTTTTCTTAATTTTATTTATTTATATTAAAAAATAATGCTTATATTCAAATCGTGTGAAATTCAAAAAAGTATTCCTCTTATTTGTCCCAAGCTATCTTAGTTCTTCTCCCTAAGGATCACCAATGTTTTCAGTTGCTTATGTATCCCTTCAGAGATATTTAATCACATAAAAGTAATTATGTGATTTTAATCACATAAAAGCAATATATTTAAATCACATAAAAGCAATTGTTTTATATTTAATCACATAAAAGCAATCACAAGTATATACACACACACAGTCCCGATTTACACAAATTGTAACACATAATTAACCACATCTAACTTTTTGCATTTAATATATCTTGGACATTTTACCATAAGTACATAAAGAATTTCTTCATTAATGTCTATGGCTACATAATATATCAGAATTTATTTGATTAGTCCCTAATTGATGGACATTTGTTTCCAGTCTTTTGTCATTATAAACAATACTGCAATGAATTAGTTGTACATTCACAATTCTCGAAGTAGGACTGCTAAATCAAAGAGCATATGCATTTATAATTTTGATAGATATCAACAAATTACTGCCTGCAGAGACTGAACTTTACCTTCTCACTAGTAATGCATGAGAATGGCTTTCCTTTTCTTGTTTATTTGTAGGAGTGTTATAACAGAGAAATTAGCCTTTTTCCTGTGATGAGTTCCACAGATTCTTTTCTCAGACTGTCATTTGTCTTTTGATTGTTTATGGTGGTTGGTACCAGGTAAAATGTTTTCTGTATGGTTGACTTTATCATACTTTTTGTTAGTGGCTTCTGGTTCTTCTGAGGTTATAAAATAATTCTCTAAGGTGTTTTTAAGGTATATTTTATAGTTTAATTCTTTACAGGCAAAACTTTGACCCATTTGGAATCTAATGTAAAGTGTCACTTGTGTACTGACACTATTGAATAACATCCCTCCTTGTGGAAACTGTCCATCCTTGACTTCTAGGAACTATTCTTTCATGATTTTTTAAAAATAATGATGACTCCTTTCATTACTGACATCTACTCTCTTCAACTCATGGAATATTAAAAGTTGATGCAGAGAATTACAGTATCATATGCACAAATACTTACCTATTTATAGAGGCTAGCATGCCAGGACTGACATGCTGACACTGAGGAGTTTTTGCCAGTGGAAAGATAACCGATGATGGAGTTGTTGGATTTCTGTCCATATTTGGCAGAATATCATCCTCTTCTTGACTGTCCCGGAAACTTGGTAACTAGAAAGCAAATATATATTACTGACAGGCACTCCTAAAAACGGAATTCCTCATTATCACAAATTGTTTTTTTGGGGGGATGATAAGTTGTTTTCTGTCTTATAATTTCACAACTGAGTAACTAAAAATATTAGTAGGTAGAGAACAGAGGCTTGGCCTCTAAAAAACTTAGTTTCTGTTGTGTAAAACAGAGATAATGGACACACATTTCTAGCACTGTGTAGACCAGGGTCAGCAAATGTTTTCTGTAAAGAGTCAGACAGAAAATATTTTAGGGTTTTGTGGTCCATACAGTCTCTGTTCCAACTACTCAGCTCTGCTGCTGAAGCAGGAAAGCAGCCATAGCTAACATGTCTGTGTTACAATAAAATACTGTTTACAAAAAAAGGTGATATGCCAGATTTGGCCTATGCACCAAGTATGCTGACCTCTGTGTAGACAGAACAAAACAAAACTGTAATTGATTTACTATTATGCTTGGTACTAAATAGACAGTCAAGCAGTATTAAACTTTTTGTGTGCATATATTTCCAATAAACAGCAATTCAATCCTTAATTAAGATTTTACTTACCTTTATATTAAAACCTTAGAAACAGTGGACTTCTGCCACAGAAAATGAACTAATTCACTGCTTTCTATTTCTATTGCTTTCAAAATGTTGCTACTGTTGCATTTAGGCCAAAACAAATATAGAACCTGAAATGATGGGGGAATAATATAAAGGGTACAATGCCTAAAGGACCATGGTTTTTGTGCAAAGAACACAGTATGATTCTCAGATGGCTCCCTTAAAATACCTTCCTTCATAACCTGTGTAGGCAAAAAGAGAGCCCAGATAATGATGTTATTACTAAATTCTTAAAGCACCGTGTAGCCTTTTAAAATTGGAGATGATTTAACCACATTGTGAAATGGGTAGATGAAAAAATTACCCTTAAGTGTAGCTCACTAAAACAAATCTCAGCTTTTATGCTTAACAGTCCAGTTGTCTATATACATCCATTTTTGCATTACTTTAATCTTAATATTCTTAACATTTTATATTTAGAGTCTAAAAAGTCTCAGATTTGCACTTAATATTTGCACTATATTTAACTGTGTTTATGAAGTACATCCTTACTGGATATACAGATTGTTTTCAGCTTTTTGCTGTGAAGATAAACGTACAAGGAGTATCTTTGTGAAGGTTTTTGCCTTCTTTTGAATTTCTTAGGATAAACTCCCATGAATAGATATAATCTTTATGGCTCTCATATGCTTTCCAAAAGATAAGATTCAATTATGTATACACTGACATATGACTATATCAACATGCCTACTGCTTTTTGTTAGTGAATATTTTAACTTATTTTTTTAAAAGATTCTGTAATTTAGAAGGTATATAATTTACTTTGTTTTCCTTTGATAGCTAGTTAAAATGCCCCTAAGTGTTCATTCAGCCTTTAAAATTTTTCTTGCCTACTTTTTTCCTGTGAGCTTGATACTTTTTATTATTCCAGTAACATCTGAATGAGTTCTTCATATTATACATATTATTGTCTTTATCTGTTGCAAATATTTTATCCCAGTCACTGAAGTTTTTAGTTTTGTGATTTTTCATACTACAAAAATTCTTGTACACATTCAAATCTGTCAATCTTATGCTGTCACTTAATCCCTCCTCCCAATTTACTATGCAGTAGGTAATAATCTTTTCTTATCACCCCCCCTTTTTAAGTTTGCCTCACTGCATATGAATTTTAAATATATATGTTTGGTCTATCTCTGGATTTTCTATTTGGTTCTACAACCATTACTTCTGAACCCCACTGAAGGGGAGACTCTGGCCACTGATGAGAATGGCATCAGAATGCTTCTTATACTACACTATACTTTACTACACTATACTTTGGCATATCAGTGAGGGCTATCAATCCTTGGCCTAAATATTAGGGATGAACACTAACCATACATAAAATGAAAGATATAAAAGTCAGTATAAAGAAAACAATGATTTCATACATTTAAGATGCTTACCAGTACTCTTTGATGCTGCAAAGGTGTTGTACTGAAAAAATCATCATGGTCATCTTTTGGCAACTGTTCCAGAAAATCCCTCATCTGCTGCTTCCTTTTAAGAGTTCCCACTTTGGCAGTTATCTTAATAGTTTGCTTCTTATCAGAATCACTGATCTTGCCTTAAGAGTCAGCAAAACATTTTGATTTAGTCATTTATACTAACTGCTCTATAAAGTGAACAGCCTTTGCAAATTCTGAATTGTGTATTTACATTAAATAAACTCAGTCTCTGTTGTTGATATTTCCAAGCCTCTAATATAACAAATGATTCTTTCTACACTGGGATCTGCGCAATGTGATTAGATTACAAGACTACTCAGGAAGAAATTATATTAGGATTAGGTAGCGTGAGGTTGAAAAGGTTCTTTACCTGTGAGAAAGGTTACCTCTCACACTTCTCTCGCTGACTACCTAACTTATTGATTTTGCTGAAATATAAACCTTATTCAATTAGGACAGGGATACTGAATATTCCCTAAAGCCTGGTATAGGACTTCTCTGGCAGAAACCCTGGCCAGGAGTGTGTACAACTAGGGACTATAAAAACTAAATTTATTCTGAGTTTTCTTATGAATTACTAGGGGGCCCTACCCAAGTGGCCTCAAATTAACTTAGACCCTTAGAACAATAATCCAGTTATTGAAATCTCTGGATCCAACTGCAGATTTCCTAGAACAAACTCAAAGCACAAGGCTGCTAAGGCTACTATTGATGTAAGTAAGTAGCTAGGTCAGACTTAAAAATTAAACAGATGATCCCTGGAGTTCTTCCTAGCTTTAAAATTTTAAAAACAACAAAAAATACCTATAATAAAACACATGGATAAATAGAAAATACATCTAATGAGTGATCAGAAATTGATACTGATCAGGAAACTTGCATAAGCCTTTTAGATAGCCTCATCCACCAGAGGGCAGACAGGAGAAGCAAGAACTACAATCCTGCAGCCTGTGGAACAAAAACCACATTCACAGATAGACAAGATGAAAAGGCAGAGGGCTATGTACCAGATGAAGGAACAAGATAAAACCTTAGAAAAACAACTAAATGAAGTGGAGATAGGCAACCTTCCAGAAAAAGAATTCAGAAAAACGATAGTGAAGATGATCCAGGACCTCGGAAAAAGAATGGAGGCAAAGATGTAGAAGACGCAAGAAATGTTTAACAAAGATCTAGAAGAATTAAAGAACAAACAAACAGAGATGAACAACACAATAACTGAAATGAAAAATACACTAAAAGGAATCAATAGCAGAATAACTGAGGCAGAAGAACGGATAAGTGACCTGGCAGACAGAATGGTGGAATTCACTGTCATGGAACAGAATAAAGAAAAAAGCATGAGGAAAAATGAAGACAGCCTAAGAGACCTGTGGGACAACATTAAACGCAACAACATTGGAATTATAGGGATCCCAGAAGGAGGAGAGAGAAAGAGAGGACCCAAGAAAATATTTGAAGAGATTACAGTCGAAAACTTCCCTAACATGGGAAAGGAAATAGCCACCCAAGTCCAGGAAGTGGAGAGAGTCCCATACAGGATAAACCCAAGGAGAAACACGCCGAGACACAAAGTAATCAAATTGGCAAAAATTAAAGACAAAGAAGAATTGAATACAGCAAGGGAAAAACTACAAATAACATACAAGGGAACTCCCATAAGGTTAACAGCTGATTTCTCAGCAGAAACTCTACAAGCCAGAAGGGAGTGGCATGATATACTTAAAGTGATGAAAGTGAAGAACCTACAACCAAGATTACTCTACCGGGCAAGGATCTCATTCAGATTTGATGGAGAAATCAAAAGCTTTACAGACAAGCCAAAGCTAAGAGAATTCAGCACCACCAAACCAGCTCTACAACAAATGCTAAAGGAACTTCTCTAGGCAGGAAACACAAGAGAAGAAAAGGACCTACAAAAACAAACCCAAAACAATTAAGAAAATGGTAAAAGGAACATACATATCAATAATTACCTTAAACATGAATGCATTAAATGCTCCAACCAAAAGACACAGGCTTGCTGAATGGATACAAAAACAAGACCCATATATATGCTGTCTACAAGAGACCCACTTCAGACCTAGGGACACATTCAGACTGAAAGTGAGGGGATGGAAAAAGATATTCCATGCAAATGGAAATCAAAAGAAAGCTGAAGTAGCAATACTCATATCAGATAAAACAGACTTTAAAATAAAGAATGTTACAAGAGACAAGGAAGTACACTACATAATGATCAAGGAATCAATCCAAGAAGAAGATATAACAATTATAAATATATATGCACCCAACATAGGAGCACCTCAATACATAAGGCAACTGCTAACAGCTTTCAAAGAGGAAATCGACAGTAACACAATAATAGTGGGGGATGTTAACACCTCACTTACACCAATGGACAGATCATCCAAACAGAAAATTAATAAGGAAATACAAACTTTAAAACACAATAGACCAGACAGATTTAATTGACATTTATAGGACATTCCATCCAAAAGCAGGTTACACTTTCTTCTCAAGTGCGCACAGAACATTCTCAGGATAGATCACATTTTGGGTCACAAATCAAGCCTCAGTAAATTTAAGAAAATTGAACTCATATCAAGCATCTTTTCTGACCACAATGCTACGAGATTAGAAATCAATTACAGGGAAAAAAACGTAAAAAACACAAACACATGATGAGACTAAACAATACGTTACTAAATAACCAAGAGATCAGTGAAGAAATCAAAGAGGAAATCAAAAAATACCTAGAGACAAATGATAATGAAAACACGATGATCCAAAACCTATGGGATGCAGCAAAAGCAGTTCTAAGAGGGAAGTTTATAGCTATACAAGCCTACCTGAAGAAACAAGAAAAATCTCAAACAATCTAACCTTACACCTAAAGGAACTAGAGAAAGAAGAACAAACGAAACCCAAAGTTAGCAGAAGGAAAGAAATCATAAAGATCAGAGCAGAAATAAATGAAATAGAAACAAAGAAAACAACAAAGATCAATAACTCTAAAAGCTGGTTCTTTGAGAAGATAAACAAAATTGATAAACCATTAGCCGGACTCATCAAGAAAAAGGAGAGGACTCAAATCAATAAAACTAGAAATGAAAAAGGAGAAGTTACAACAGACACTGCAGAAATATAAAGCATCCTAAGAGACTACTACAAGCAACTCTATGTCAATAAAATGGACCACCTGGAAGAAATGGACAAATTCTTAGAAAGGTATAACCTTCTAAGACTAAACCAGGAAGAAACAGAAAATATGAACAGACCAATCACAAGTAATGAAATTGAAACTGTGATTAAAAATCTTCCAACAAACAAAAGTCCAGGACCAGATGGCTTCACAGGTGAATTCTATCAAACATTTAGAGAAGAGCTAACACCCATCCTTCTCAGACTCTTCCAAAAAATTGCAGAGGGAGGAACACTCCCAAACTCATTCTATAATGCCACCATCACCCTGATACCAAAACCAGACAAAGATACTACAAAATAAGAAAATTACAGACCAATATCACTGATGAATATAAATGCAAAAGTCCTCAACAAAATACTAGCAAACAGGATCCAACAACACATTAAAAGGATCATACACCATGACCAAGTGGGATTTATCCCAGGGATGCAAGGATTCTTCAATATACGCAAATCAATGTGATACACCATATTAACAAACTGAAGAATAAAAACCATATGATCATCTCAATAGATGCAGAAAAAAAGCTTTTGACAAAATTCAACACCAATTTATGATAAAAACTTTCCAGAAAGTGGGCATAGAGGGAACCTACCTCAACATAATAAAGGCTATATGACAAACCCACAGCAAACATCATTCTCAATGGTGAAAAACTGAAAGCATTTCCTCTAAGATCAGGAACAAGACAAGGATGTCCACTCTCGCCACTATTATTCAACATAGTTTTGGAAGTCCTAGCCACGGCCATCAGAGAAGAAAAAGAAATAAAAGGAATACAAATTGGAAAAGAAGAAGTAAAACTGTCACTGTTTGCAGATGACATGATCCTATACATAGAGAATCCTAAAGATGCCACCAGAAAACTACTAAAGCTAATCAATGAATTTGGTAAAGTTGCAGGATACAAAATTAATACACAGAAATCTCTTGCATTCCCGTACACTAATGATGAAAAATCTGAAAGAGAAATTAAGGAAACACTCCCATTTACCACTGCAACAAAAAGAATAAAATACCGAGGAATAAACCTAGTTAGGGAGACAAAAGACCTGTATGCAGAAAAGTATAAGACACTGATGAAATAAATTAAAGATGATACAAACAGATGGAGAGATATAGCATGTTCTTGGATTGGAAAAATCAATATTGTGAAAATGACTTAACTACCCAAAGCAATCTACAGATTCAATGCAATGCCTATCAAATTACCAATGGCATTTTTCACAGAACTACAACAAAAAAATCTTAAAATTTGTATGGAGGCACAAGACCCCCAATAGCCAAAGCAGTCTTGAGGGGAAAAAACGGAGCTGGAGGAATCAGACTCCCTGACTTCAGACTATACTACAAAGCTACAGTAATCAAGACAATATGGTACTAGCACAAAAACAGAAATGTAGATCAATGGAACAGGACAGAAAGCACAGAGATAAACCCACGCGGCTATGGTCAACTAATCTATGACAAAGGAGGTAAAGGATATACAATGGAGAAAAGACAGCCTCTTCAATAAGTGGTGCTGGGAAAACTGGACAGCTACATGTAAAAGAATGAAATTAGAACACTACCTAACACCATACATAAAAATAAACTCAAAATAGATTAGAGAAGTAAATATAAGACTAGACACTATAAAACTCTTAGAGGAAAACATAGGAAGAACACTCTCTGACATAAATCACAGCAAGATGTTTTTGATCCACCTCTTAGAGTAATGGAAATAAAAACAAAAATAAACAAATGGGACCTAATGAAACTTAAAAGCTTTTGCAAAGTAAAGGAAACTACAAACAAGACGAAAAGAGAACCCTCAGAATGGGAAATATATTTGCAAACGAACCAACGGACAAAGGATTAATCCCCAAAATATATAAACAGCTCATGCAGCTCAATATTAAAGAAACAAACAACCCAATCCAAAAATGGGCAGAAGACCTAAATAGACATTTCTCCAAAGAAGACATACAGATGGCCAAGAAGCACATGAAAAGCTCCTCAACATCACTAATTATTAGAGAAATGCAAATCAAAACTACAATGAGTTATTACCTCACACCAGTTAAAATGGTCATCATCAGAAAATCTACAAACAAATGCTGGAGAGGGTGTGGAGAAAAGGGAACCCTCTTGCACTGTTGGTAGGAATGTAAATTGACACAGCCACTATGGAGAACAGTATGGAGGTTCCTTAAAAAATTTAAAAAAACGAAAAATAGAATTACCACATGACCCAGCAATCCCACTACTGGGTTACCCAGAGGAAACCATAATTCAAAAAGACACATGCATCCCAATGTTCACTGCAGCACTATTTACAATAGCCAGGTCATGGAAGCAACCTAAATGCCCCTCGACAGACAAATGATTAATGAAGATGTGGTACATATATACAATGGAATATTACTCAGCCATAAAAAGGAATGAAATTGGGTCATTTGTAGAGACGTGGATGAATCTACAGACTGTCATACAGAGTGAAGTAAGTCAGAAAGAGAAAAACAAATATCGCATATTAACACATGTATGTGTAACCTAGAAAAATGGTATAGATGAACCGGTTTGCAGGGCAGAAATTGAGACACAGATGTAGAGAACAAACGTATGGACACCAAGGGGGGAAAGCAGTGTCAGGTGGGGGTGGTGGTGTGATGAACTGGGAGATTGGGATTGACATGTATACACTGATGTGTATAAAATGGATGACTAATAAGAACCTGCTGTATAAAAAAATAAATAAAATTCAAAAAAAGAAATCGATACTGAGAACTAGGAAAAAACTATTTCCTACAAAGGTTACCTTTGGGGTTGACTGGCTTTTTCTTGGTGACATGTTTCTGAGATCTTTTTCCTCGGGGATCTTCCATGTATTTCCTCTGGCATTCATGAGCAGATCGAGAACCTACAGCCATAGCCACCTCTGACCAGAAACCAGGTTTGTGCTTTGGAAGAGATGCAAAAGCACTATCGAAGACCAAAAACAGTTAAAGAACAAGCAATTCAACTCAATAAAAAAAATAACCTTCTGAAGGCATACTACTAAATCAAGGAGAATTACTGAGCTGAAGGAATTTTATCAAAATCATTCTAGATAACTATTTAGGAAGAAGATAGTATTCTCTCCACTTAATAACCTACTCTAATGCTTAAAATACAAAGATGTAAGTGTACATATCTAGTAGATGCCTTCTATTTTGTTGTAGTCTATTAAACCTGAAAAACCATGCCCAATCTTTCAACATTTTTTTCCTAAGTCCAACTAATCAGTGATTAGATCTTTGGGGGGACTCTAGCATGACTAACTTTTGTACACTGCTGCACAAATCTTACTGGTGCTAACTATATTGGAAGACAAGCTCCTAGTTTCTATATATTCCATGTTACAAACTCTTATTAAAAAGTGTTACGCTTGCTTTCATTCTATTATAATTTATAGAACACAATATTTTAGATATAATACTTAACTGAGGGAAATGAAAATTGAAATAGAAAAAAACTAAGTCAATATAAGGTAGTTCCCCAATTTAACAAACGAGTTTCATTCTAAAATCTCATTGCAAATGATTACAGTAAGTCCCCTACATATGAATGAATTTCGTTCCGAGACTGCATTTTTAAGTCCAATTTGTCGGTAAGTCCAACAAAGTTAGCCTAGGTATCCAACTAACACAATTGGCTATATAGTGCTATACTGTAATACGCTTATATTACTTTGCACACAAATAATACATTAAAAACAAACACAAAAAATAAAAACATTTTTACTCTTACACTAAAGTACCTTGAAAAGTACAGTAGTACCAGCTACATCACCACTGCTTTTATGCTTGCATCCGGACATCCTGGGCTTGAAATAAAGATACTGTACTACTGTACTCGATACAATATTGTACAGTAAAGCACACAAAAGCACAACTACTTGTAAAGGATGCACACACGTGACAGTATACACTAGACATGTGAACTAACTTATGTGACTGGACATGTGAACACATGTTCGCATCTTCAGAAGTTCACAACTTGAAGGTTCAGATGTAGGGGACTTACTGTATTTAGAACCTGGTATACATATTACTGCCCTCCCCCTCCAAGAGATATTATATATTGTGGTTAGGCTGATAGTTCTGCCAGAAAAGATCTATTTAACTCACCAGTTAACCTATGCAGTGTTATGCTGGTAAATTTTTTACAACTAGTTCTCTGGGGTTAAAAAGCCCCAATTTGTAGTGTTTGTCAATTTCGATGTTGTAAATACTCCTATCGTGGATGATTTCAAGTTACCAACATGGAGTAAGAAATGTGCAACAGCACACAATTATAAAGAATTTCCACTACACAGATATGACAGATGTAAAGAACCTCAAGGGCACAGATAATAAAATATAGTAAAATAATTAGGAAGTGATGAGTTTAGAGTTTTAGTTTGTTTCTAATAAATTTATTTAACCTTTAGTTTATATAATTTAATTTTTAATAATGATCATGAAACATTTAATTTGTAAAATTCATGAAAATTTAAGAATCAACTTTTGTGAACAGATATGATCTAACTACAGAATACCACTCGATGCATAAAAGGAGAACAAATACTTATGGGCATTGAACACTTAACAAATGTTCTACTCTTGCATAACTAATCATTCCACATTTGTTCTAAAGCAGAGAACTATAGGGAGGGGGCTCAAGCTTCCCTATCTGTGTACATAGCTAACATTCAAGTCTAGGATTGCCTAAAAGGACTATTTTGTCATAATAAAAATACTTAATGCACTTAATAAGAAATTAGTCTGTAATGAACACATCTTCTCTAGTTAATCCCAGATAATTTAAAAAGGCAAATGTAATCATATCACTCCAGTCCTACTTAAAAATCACTTCGTCATTTTTAAGCATAAAAACCTAAATATGATCTATGTTCTTCCTTGCCTGTCTATTCTCATCCTCTACAGCTCTTCCCTCACTTTCTGTATGCCGGTCATTTTGGCCTTTAGTATTTTTAAATATGCTCTCTTACTTTCTACTTTTACATACACTGTTTTACTTTAAAACGTACTTATCATGAATCTTTGGCCTAAATACTTCTTATTTAACCTTCAAATCTTAGTTCTAGTATCTGCCTAAACTAAGTCAGATTTCCCTGATAAATACTGTCATAAGCTTCTTACAGGGATTATTTGCTAAGTATCTGTCTACCCTACTAGGTTATAAGCATGATGGGGGGGGGGTACAAAACAGTGGGCTGCAACCAAGAATCACTTAAGGAGCTTATAGCAAAATGCAAGCAAGCAAGTAAAATAAGCGAACAGATTCATAGACTCCATCCCTGAAGATTTCAATACAGTAGGTCTGGAGCAGCAATCCTTTGCATTTTCCAAAAGCTCCTCATGTGATTATTTTGCTTTGAAATCAGCATTAGAATTGCTTTACGTTGTTTGTAAGAAAGAGGCATTACATCTAACTGAGTGGAAAGTAGGAATAGGTGATAACAAGGAAATGTTACAGGGAGGAGGTGACATGTGAGATAAAATTTGAAGGATGGATAAAAATATAACAGGTGAAAATAAGGCCATAATATTGGCAAAGAAATGAAGACAAGGAAGAACTACATATGGTCAGGGAATGATAAATAGTTCATATTTATAGAACAGGAAATTTCAAAGAAATAGCTGCAGGTCAAAGCTGTAAAAAACTAGAGAAGCATAAAACCCAAACCCAAACCTGCCATATCTGAATATTTTAATAGTATGCAGTCTAGGCACTTTTTAAACAGTTTAAGTAAAATTGTCTTTTTGGGTATGGTTCTACGAATCTTAACAGATATATAACACAACAGATGGAACAGTTCCATCAGACTGAAAAAAAACTCCCAGTGCTACCCCTCTGTGGTCCACCACTATAACCACTGGAAATCCCTGATCCATTTTCTTTCTTTTTAGTTCTGTCTTCTCCAGAACATAACATAAATGGAATCATATAGTATGTAACCTTTTGGGCTGGCATTTTTCACTCAGCATAATACCTCTGAAATTCATTCAAGTGGTTACAAGTATCAATAGTTCTTCCTTTTTATTACTCAGTAGTCCAATCACTATAAGATCATACCACAATTTCATTTATGAAGAAAGTATCATGAAAATCAGGCAGAGAAATGAGCTACGTAAAACCAAACTGTAACATTGTTTATGAACTTCTGGGCTCACACTGCAAATTTTGATATATTTTCTTTGTTGTTCAGTTCAGAATATCTTCCCTTGAGACTTCCTCTTTGACCCATAGATTATTTATAGGTGTGTTATTTATTTTTCAACCACTTGGAATTTTTTGTTTTCTTTTACGGACTTGTAGTTTAATTCAATTATGGCCAGAGAACACCCTTTATATAACTTCAGTTATACTCAATTCGTTAAGATTTGTTTTATGACCTAGTAAATGTTCTTTCTTAGTGAATAATCCACCTATCCTTAGAAATAATGTGTTTTTTCCCTGTTGGGTACACTATTCCAAAATGTCAGCTAGCACAGTTGGCTGATGGTGTTGTTCATTCAGTTCTTGTATACCCTTACTAATTATCTGTCTACTACTGCCATCAATTACCAAGAGAAGAATACTGAAGTCTCCAACTATGATTGTGGATTTGACTCTTTTCAGTTCAGTACTTTCCTTTTAGTTTTGTCAGATTTTGATTCATGTATTTTGAGGTTTTGTTCTCAGGTGCATACACATTTAGGATTGTTAAGTCTTCCTGGTGAAATGGCACTTCTATCATTTTGTAATGTCCGTCTTTATTCTCAATATTTTCTTCATACTGAAATCTTTGATTAGTATTAGTATAGCCACTCCAGCTATTTATTGAATTTGCATGGTATGTATCTATCCTTTCACTTTTAACTTACCTATGTCCTATTTGAAGTGAGTTTCCTTTATACAACACAGTGGGATCATGTTTTTAAATTCATTCTAACAATCTTTTAAATGGTATTTATATTATTAACATAATTAATGTAATTTATATTATTAACATAATTAATGTAATTGTTTTTCTTTGTTCCTCCTGTTTTCTATTTCCTTTTTCTGCCTTTTTTTTTTAGTATTTTAATTTATCTATTATATGTTTGAAGGTATGTGTAGTTTTTTAGTGGCTGCTCTGGGGTTTACTATATACATACTGAACAGTCAACTTAGAATCAGTATCTTACTGCTTCAAGTAAAATCTTACCATCATATAAGCCTCTTCCTCACTTGTCTTCTGTATCACATTTATAAACACTGAAGAACTCCATCATGCAATGCAATATTTGCCTTAAACCGCTAAACATTTACAAGAACTCAAGAGAAGTCTACTGTATTTACCCAGAGTTGCCATCTGTCTTCCTATTCCTCCATTCCTGATACTGACTGCCTCTTTGCTCTCTCATCTCATTCTGCTATTGAGCCTATCCAGTGAGTTTTTATCTTATTTTTCAGTTCTAAAATTTCCATTTGATCCTTATTTACATTTTCTATTTCTTGCTGAGACATTATAAATTTCTGTTCAAGAATGTTTGCTTTTAGTTCCTGAAGCATTTTTATATACCTGCTTCAGAATCTTGTCAGATAATTCCAACATCTGTGTCAATCCCAGCATTCGCATCTGTTTATTATTTTTTCCATAAGAGTTGAAATTTTCCTGGTTCTTTGTATGCTAAGTAATTTTGGATTATTTCCTAGACATTTTGAATGACAAAACTCTGGGTCTTATATATATTTTATAGAGAATATTAATATTTTTGTTTTAGCAGGCAACCAACCTGGCTGTAACCTGAGCTATAAATTCCAGTCAGTCTTCTGTGGTTGCAGTTTCAGTGTCAGTTCCATTTTTAAAGCTTTGCAGTGTTATTAGGATATACTGCATGTTGGACACTGGGTGGCTGGCCTGGAAACTGCATGGTGGTCTACCATTTAGTTCAGTTCTCAAAGTCTTGGGTATGCTGTTTAGGATCAGATCCACAAATGGGCAACTCAAGGGTGAGCCTAAAAGTTCATAAACAACTTTATAGGGTTGCTTTCCCTAGGTCCTCCCTCTCTGCAGTCTTTGGTTCCCTAGGGTTCCCATTTTTGATTCTCTGGCAGAAACCTGGGGTTTTAGTTACCCAGCTCTGCTGCACACTTTATAAAATTGTATCTTTCTCAGGGCCAAGCAGAGGACAGAAAGAGAAAATTGCAAAATGGTTTGCCCCACCCTTTTGAGACCTCTACCCGAACTGGAGAGGAAGGTTCCGCACTTTCAGAGTTTTAGGTATGTGTGGGCCCCAACTGATGCTGTGATGCTTGCTCCTGCTGGATTGTATGGGTACTGGGTTGTAAGAGAAAGGAGAAAAGAAAAAGAAACAACTGAGAGATTTCCTCTACTGTTTCTGAGTGTTAGTAATCCCCCTTCCTGTTCAAGCCATAACTGAAGAGCTTCTCTTTGAACTCTCTTTGTCTTGCCTCAATGCCCCCTTCCTGGTTTTAGGTGGCCTTGAGTTTAGCTTGGGGGAATATCTAGAGGAAAAACTGGAAATTCACTTCCAGTTTGGTGGTTCTTAAAATTCTAGTCTCCCTCAATCAACCTGTTATTATTTATCTTCCTGAGTCAACAAAAAGCTGTTCCAAGAATTCTGTCCAGGTGTTACAGCTGCATAGAAGAAACAGAGCGGAGTATGCGTACTCATCTTACTGGGAACTGGCATTTCTGTAGTCCAGGCACTTAAAAATCTCCTTGCATGATCTGAACATACAGCAAAGGTTGACAACTTTTATTAAAGGAAATAATGGGGGATACAGCTGGAAGGGATAACTGAGGTCAACTATTACTCTCAATGCAAGGCAGAAGAAATCTTTATATAATTTGAATTTGAGCAAGAATGCAAGTGAAGGTTTTTGATGTGTCAGAACCACAACTACACATTAAGACTAATCTGGAGTTGCACAAAACAGATTACTCAGATGAACAGAATAAAGTAAAAACACAAGGCTACTTACACAGTTCAGGCAAAAGGCATTAAAGGTCTGAAAAAAAGAGTAGTGTTAAGAAAAAGGCTGTACAGGCATATCTTGTTTTATTGCCCTTTGCTTTACTGTGTTTTTTACAAACTGAAGGTTTGTGGCAACCCTGTGTCAAGCAAGACTATTGGTGCCATATTTCCAACAGCATTTGCTCACTTCATGACTCTGTCACATTTGGTAATTCTCACAATATTTCACACTTTTTCATCATTATTATATTTGTTACGTGATCTGTGATGCTACTCTTGTATTGTTTGGGGTGCCATGAACTGTGCAAATATAAGACAGTGAATTTAATTGATAAATGTTGTGTGTTCTGACTGTTCCACTGACCAGCCATTCCCATCTCTCTCTCTCTCCTTGAGCCTCCTTATTCTCCGAGGACGCAAGAGTATTGAAATTAGGCCAATTAATAAGCCTACAATGGCCTCTAAATGTTCAAGTGAAAGGAAGAGTTGCAAGTCTCTCACTTTAAATCAAAAGCTAGAAATGATTAAGCTTAGTGAGGAAGGCATGTCAAGAGCTGACACAGGCTGAAAGCTAGGCCTCTTGTGCCAAACAGTAAAGTTGTGAATCCAAAGGAAAAAGTACTTTAAGGAAATTAAAAGTGCTACTCTAGTGAACACACAAATGATAACAAATAGCCTTATTGCTGATATGGAGAAAGTTTAGCGATCTGGATAGAAGATCAAACCAGTCACAAGATTCTTTTAAGCCAAAGTCTAATCTAGAGCAAGGTCCTAACTTTCTTTAATTCTATGAAGGGTGAGAGAGGTGAGGAAGCTTCAGATGAAAAGTCTGAAGCTAGCAGAGGTTGGCTCATGAGGTTTAATGAAAGAAGTGTCTCCATAAAAGTACAAAGTGAAGCAGCAAGTGCTAATGTAAAAGCTGCAGCAAGTTATCCAGAAGCTCTAGCTAAGATCATCAATGAAGGTGGCTACACTACACAACAGATTTTAAATGCAGACAAAACAGTCTTCTATTGGAAGAAGATGCCATCTATGACTTTTCTGGCTAAGGAGGAAAAGTCAATGGCTGGCTTCAAATGACAGGCTGACTCTCTTGATACAGGCTCATGTAGCAGGGGACTTGAAGTTGAAGCCAATGCTTATTTACCATTCTGAAAATTCTAGGGTCCTTAGGTAGATTATGCTAAATCTCCTCTACCTGTGCTCTATAAATGGAACAAAGCCTGGAGGTCAGCACATCTACTTACAACAATGTTTACTGAATCATTTTAAGACCACTGTGTAGAGCTACTGTTCAGAAAGAAAGATTCTTTTCAAAATATTACTGCTCATTTACAGTGTACCTGGTCACCCAAAAGCTCTGATGGAGATGTACAAGATTTATGTTGTTTTCAGCCTGCTAACATAACATCCATTCTGCAGCTTATGAATCAAGGAGTAATTTTGATTTTCAAGTCTTATTATTTAAGAAATATATTTCCTAAGGCTAGAGCTGCCACAGATAGTGATTCCTCTGATGGATCAAAGTAAATTGAAAACCTTCTGGAAAGGATTCACCATTAAAATGCCATTAAGAATATTCGTGATTCATGGGAAGAGGTCTATTAAAATATCAACATTCACAGGAGTTTGGAAGAAGTTGATTCCAGCCCTCATGAATGACTTGGAGGAGTTAAAGACTTCAGTGGAAGAAGTCACTGCAGATGTAGTGGAAATAGCGAGAACTAGAATTAGAAGTGGAGCCTAAAGATGTGGCTGAATTGCTACAATCTCATGATAAAACTTGAACTTATGAGGAACTGCTTCTTATGGATGAGCAAAGAAAGTGATTTTATGAGATGAAATCTACTCCTGGTGAAGATGCTGTGAAGACTGTTGAAATGACAACAAAGGATTTAGAATATTACATAAACTTAGCTGATAAAGCAGCAGCAGGGTTTGAGAGGACTGACTCCAATTTTGAAAGAAGTTCTACTGTGGGTAAAATGCTATCAATATCAAGGCAAGACCCTCCAACAGCAAAAGGATTACAACTTGCTGAGGACTCAAATGATTAGCATTTTTAAGCAATAAATTATTTTTTTTAACTAAGGTATATACACTGGTGTTTTTGACATGATGCTATTGCACACTTAAGAGACTACAGTAGAGTGTAAACATATTTTCATATGCACCAGGAAACCAAAAAATTAATGTGACTTTCTTTGTTGAGATATTCACCTTCTTCCAGTAGTCCAGAATTGAACCCACAATATTGCCTAAGTATAGCTGGTAGCTTCTTAATTTAAAAAAAAAATAGATTTAAAAAATTAGATTAAAAATCAGTAATAATAAAGAGTTTAAACCTAGTTGACTAGAAAAATTACATATTCAGAAACAGGAATGTCAGGCAAAGTGGACAGGCAGGGGAAAATAAGTTTGGTTTTTGACATATTAAGTTAGCTGTAGGTGAGATTTATGTAGAGATGTCCAGCAGGCAAAGGGAAATACAAACCTAAGTACAAGAATTCAAGACCAGAGGCACAGATTTGGAAGTCCCTTTGCAAAAAGGAAAAGTAGAACTTTGGAATGAAAAGATCACTGAGGAATACACTACTGCTAGAAAGCAAACAGCCAAAACCAAGAAGTCTGAAGAATAAGAAAACCTTCTCTGCCTGAAAATAAGATAGAGAAGGAAAATTTAGGAAATCAAGAAAGGAAGAGTACAGTGGCACAAAGATGCCTTAGGAAGAGAAGGTAGATTTGAAAATGAATTCCAAATGTTATAAAGTTGGGGGTACACAAGAGAATGGAACACTGAATGTGGCGTGTTTCTATGTTATCCTTCCCTCTTTTATCAATCATATCTTCCTTTCTTTCTACTAGATCATTTCCAAGAACATACCATTATACCCTGGCATGAGTCACCTTACAAACAAGCAAGCAAGCAACTAAACATACATGTTCCCTTATCTTCACACTGTCTTCTATGACTATGCATTCTTCTGTTCCCTATCATTGCCAAATTTATTGTGTCATCCATCTAGGTTGTCTTTACTCTCTCATTCACTCTTCATCTCTCAACTATGATCTGGCTTCCAATACTAACTACCACACTACTGAAACTGCTTTTCAAGTCTATGTAGCTAAATCCAATTCTCATCATACCTGATTTATCAAGCAGCACTAATTAAGAAACCTTGGACAAATCACTGAATTTTTGAGACTAATTTCTCTTCTATAAATGAGGGGGAAAAGACTGTACTAAATAATCTACAAATTTGGATTCAAATTTAAGGTTTTATAATAGTAAATTTACTTATAAAATATTCCTTAAAATGTGAAGCTAAGTGAGAGAGCTGCATTTGTCTGTGTTGAAATGGTTTACCCCTGCTTTACTGAGGTATAATTGACAAAAAAACCTGTATATATTTAAAGTGTACATGTGATCATTTGACATACATATACATTGTGAAATGATTACCACAATCAAATTAATGAACACATCTGTCCCCTCACATAGTTACCCTTTTTTAGGGGGGAGGGGGAGGGGACTCTCTTGAAATATTAAATGGGAATGAAAAGAAAAGAGGGTCACTCACTTTCCTCACATGCAGGCTATAGATGGCCACAAAGAACCTAGTTAGAAGTTATCTGTACTCTCCCTCTACTCCCTATATAAATTTCAATTTCTCTCCATCTGTTTTTGGATGACATCTTCCATATTAACAAATAGAAGTCATTAAATCAGCCCATTATTGGAGTTTTTATGTTGTAAACTGTTTTGTGGCCCCTCTAGATATTTCAGAGTCAAATCTGACTACTTACCAACGAAGTTTCTGTAATTCTTTCTTATTCCATTCCTCATCCTGAATTAAACCAGGTAAACATGCTAAGGAATACCTGTTTGTCTTGCCAGATCCCATTGTCTCAATAGCTGGAAGCTCATTGCTAATATCAGATTTCTGAAGATTTTCTTTAGCAGAACATCTAGCTTTCTTTTGTTTCATATGAAGTTCATTTTCACTCTCTTCAGTTTCAGATTCAGACATCACTGGGATTGTCCTTGTTTTTCTTGTGCTTTTTCTCAAGTGAACCACTATTTCTTTGGTATTTCTTGCTCTGGTTTTCTTAACAACCCCAGCTTTCCTTCTAAATTCCTTTCCTTTTTCACTCTCTTCATTAGACAAATCTGATGAGGACTGATGCTTGTAAAATGACACAGTTACTTGATTTTCAGTTTTCTTCAATTTTGATAACCTTGTATTTTTCTTAAAGTCAGAGGTGACTGTTTGTTCCTTTTTAGGACTAGGTATTTTTATTTTCTGGTTGACAGTGAGTAAATCACATTCACTACAATCTTCCTTGTTTTTACTTTTATGACCCACACTATACTCAAATGTACTTTCTAAAGTCTTTGTGGGTTTGCTGATTGGACTTGTAGGTTCATTTAAGTTTGATTTACTTTCTTTCTGATGCTTTCGCACTGCAAAATCTGTTACTGCTTTAATGGTGCCAAAGGACAGATTATAATTCATGCATTTTTGCTCTATAATTTTTTTAGATTTGAGTGGTGTTACTAAAATATAAGGTTTCTTCTGATTAACAGCCATATATTTTCTTTCTTCGTCTGAGAAAAACTGTTCCCTTGATGTTAGAATATCAACGGATACTTTGGATTCTTCAGTTCTCTCTTTAATTTCATAAGACAAAACCAAAGATCAAAATTTCAAATTAGCTACAAACAAAATATAGAAAAAATATTTCCCAAACAAAATATACTGTTTCTTTCCCCACAAACTCCATTTTAAACACTATCGCCAAATTAATCTTCCTGAAGCACTGGTCTGTTCAGATCACTGCCCCTTCAATTGTAAACATATACTAATTTTTATACCAATCTGTCCATGACGTCTCACAGTCTACTTAGTGTACACAGTTCCTCTGCCTGGTCTTCAATATAGCTCTATCACTCACTGTACCCAAATCTGAATGGTATTTTATGTCTGTTAATCCACTGCTTCTCAACTTTCATTAATGTCATTCACTCTACTTGGAAAGTTTCCTTCACTTACCACCTGCTTCAATTCTGTTCTATAACCTTCTTTATTTCTGTTTTCTAACCCACCTATCCACAAACTTTGTCTTGATTCCCTCAACTGAATGAAAACTCTCCTTCAAATTTCCAGAATACTTTCAAATAATACCATGTTTGACAATGTGCCCTGCATTATAATTAACATACTTATCTTTCAACTGAAAAAAATTCTTAATGGTAAGAATTTCGTCTTCATTTTTGATTTTTTTTTGCTGGAGTTAGTACAGTCTTTCACATACATCGGAGATGCTAAATATTTGTTAAATTTGGAAATAAAATATTAAGAAGACATAAGGAAAACCACTAGGGTTGCTAAAACCTTACTAGGTATGTAATATATGGAACAGAAGCTATCCTAGTTTAGGAGAGTTAGGAAAACATGGAACTCCATCTGCATGGCCCCATATGCATCCCCAGCGGTGGTCACAGAGATACATTTTTGCTGAATCCCCCAAAACTCCATGAAGCATCATGGGCTAACAACCAAAGCAGAACTTGGGAATCTTTATTATACTGTGTCACTGGTTAAAGAAAGCAAATTAAAATGAGAGAAACTCTCCAATTTGAAACTTAGGAAACCAGAAGCCAAACTAATTTTAGCTTTAAATTATACAATTATAAATATATACAAATTGTAAATCATCACACCAATCATCGTAGTGAAGTACTCCAACAACCTACACATATTATGTGCCATTTTACAAGATGAATGACAAAATGAAAGACTGATGGGTAATACTGAATGCTGGGGAAAAAAGAAGCCTCTAAATTATAGTTCATGGAGAAGTGGCACTAGACAAAAGTAATCAGGAAAGTTTCTACATGATTTCTCAATGGAATCATGTATCTTCATATTATGAAGGAAAAGTTTTCTTCTAATTCCTCATATAAACATGATTCAAATGTTCAATTGGAAATGTGAAAATTTTGAACTTTCTAATTTTGAACAAAACCTTTTTATTCTGAATATTTTTATTCATTTTATTAAATAATTTGAATAAAGATTCAGACCATTCTGGATACTTCAACCTAAGCTGTATGAAGTTAGTAGTGTTAGTATTGTTTCCTCTCTACTTCTTTAAACACTTATAAATGTTCCTCACTTTCATTTCTTTTCAACTAGAAGAAATAAGATAGGAATAAGTGCTATTAAGCTGATGGATTTAACTCAATATGAAATTTTAAACTTGCTAATGTGTAGAGAAAAGGTTCTTTAAATTCTGGTAGGCAGGATTTCAATGAAATTACTCTGAAAATCCACACTTACACAAAACTAAATTATGGTATTAAGTTCACAGAAGTCTGTACTTGAAGATGCACAATGGATGGTACTCCTTGCTCTTGAGATTATTACAGTATGGTGAGGAAGGCTGATATTATAATCATTTACAATATACTGTTAAGTATAATAACAGAGATATATAAAGTACTTTAAGAGCAATACTATAATATATAGATTACAGAACTAAATATACAAAACATTAGGTAAATCATTAAAATACACACACACAATTATATCATCTTAAATTATCATTGGTTGGCACCTTTGCATAACCTCAGTTGTTTAATGTTAGATGTGGGTTTTTTTATATTTCAGTGGTTTTTCTCATGGAAAGTGTAATGATAATGATAATACAAACAATAACAGCATCAAATACCACCACTCAAAATAATGTATGTGACAAGAAGACACTCACTGTCTTAATAGTTTCACAAAACAATGATCTAATGAATCACACTGGAAAAATGATACGTCCAAAACAGAATACAGTAATATCTTCCCCTAAACTGAGCTTCTCAAGGAAAAGCATCTCATTTTATTCATCTCTAAGTTCCTAACAGCTAACATAGATCAAAGTTCATGGAAGATGCTTTAAAAATGTTCGTTGAATGATTTTCCTTTGGACACAGCTGGCATGTAAATTATCAAACTTTAGTCTTTTACATTTGTATTCTCAAATACTTTACCAATAATACTCACAATTTGACTCAAATTCCTGAAAAACAGTACTATAAGTGAAAGGAAGGAGTGGGGGTAGAGAGATGATAAGACCTAAGACTAAAGAAGCCTAATAAATAATTCAAAGTTAGATATACTTTTAGGGATCTTTTAAATTTCAGAGTAAAAAAGTATATAGCAGGTGCTGTAGCCCCAGGACTCCAGAATACTGAAGAGGTCTAGCAAAGACAACAAGCAGTATGCCTAATTCGCGAGAAATAGGATGACTTTTGATAAAATGAAGGATTGAGAAGGAACTGGATCAACAGTTAAGGAGTGAATTTTTGCTAGCTGTATGAAGCAGTCATCCGCATATTTATTCCTTTCTCTGTACTACAAAGGATTAGCATAGTTTCAGTGGGGGTGGGGGACAGGAAATAGGGTATGGTGGGGTGGGGAGTGACATACAGGTACATTTATATCCAGTATGGTGCTATGTTTCTGGCAGAAGCAGCCCTGAATTCTTGAAGTTCTGTAAAACTCTTCATTGTAAGATCAAGGTAGAATTGGCATAAATTTATACAACAGAGTCTAGGAATTTTACTCATTATATTATCTAGAAAGGACTATAAATACTTTTTTTCAGCTTGGGGTTGGGTGGATGTGAGGCAGATTATAGTTTTGGTAGAGTTGACACAGAACAGTTCTGCCAGCTACCTTCATAGCAACGGTCATTCAAGAAGACATGCCATTACCTCCATGAAAGCAAACTGGTTTTGTCTATTAACAGGAATAATAGTTAGTACAAAAATATAGGTATCTGTAATATAGGTCTGAGGTAAGCTGGCAGCCTAAATACCTTGCGTCTAGAAAACTGAAAGAACAATCATTTTTCATTGTTATGTTGATCAGTGTTCTTGGTATTCTAATTAAAAGGTATAATTTAATGAAGTAAGCTGAATGCTGACTACAGGCAGTCTACATTGCAGTTTCTCCTCTTAAGCAGTGAAAAAACCCCAGGAATTTTAGGGCAGTATAAATCAAGAACTCAATACTAAATTCACTGTAAACAATTAAACAGTGTGGAGCTCAGGTAAAAATTTACCACTATACCAACAGAGAAGAAAAGAGCAAACATACCCAAATGATCACAATCAAGGTCATAAGTGGCAGTGGCTCTTCGGAGGACTTCTGTTTTTTTTTCCCCTGCATCATTTTTCATTGATTTTCGAATGTCAGGAACAACCCTTTCAGTCTTCTGTTTTTGTCTGGCCTTTCCTCCTTTCTTTTCACAAGACCTAAAAACAAGTATAGTATTTTTCCTCTAATATTGGTTCTCAAAAAACAAAAACAAAAAACGAAACCCATAAATAATAAATGAAACTCCCTCAGATAAAGCTTTTTTCCCCAGCATATTACCTTTAATCTTACATTATTTAAGCTTTCATGGCTTCTACCCTTTTCCTCCCACAAACAACTTAAGTATAACATCTTAATGACCTCTTAAGTTCTTCTTATCTATGCTCTTGTATTTCCCACTTAAGCTGATATTATAAGAAAATTACAGGACAAATTCTGCCAGTTGTCTGTTCTTGTAAAGTTTATTGAAACACAGCCACATTCATTCTTTTTTTTTTTACATCTTTATTGGAGTATAATTGCTTTACAATGGTGTGTTAGTTTCTGCTTTATAACAAAGTGAATCAGTTATACATATACATATGTTCCCATATCTCTTCCCTCTTGCATCTCCCTCCCTCTCACCCTCCCTATCCCACCCCTCTAGGTGGTCACAAAGCACCGAGCTGATCTCCCTGTGCTATGCGGCTGCTTCCCACTAGCTATCTATTTTACGTTTGGTAGTGTATATATGTCCATGCCTCTCTCTCGCTTTTCAGTACTATCTATGTTGCTTTTCCACTACAAAGGCAGAGTCGAGTAGCTGTGATAGAGGCAACATACCCATGAAAATACTATCTGCCCCTTTACAGAAAAAAACTGCCAGCCCCAGTTATACCTTATTACATTGTGACATGATTAGTCAACTTACACAACCTATCCCCTATGAGTTTTTAAGGGCAAGAATTAATCAAATTCAGACTTCCCTCATGGTCCAATGGTTAAGAATCCACCTGCCAAGGCAAGGGACACAGGTTCGATCCCTGGTCTGGGAAGCTCCCACATGCCGCACAGCAACTAAGTCCGTGAACCACAACTACTGAGCCCACAAGCTGCAACTACTGAGCCTGCAGGCCATAACTACTGAAGCCCGTGCACTCTACGGCCCGCATGCCGCAACTACTGAGGCTGCATGCTGCAACTACTGAAGCCCATGTGCCTAGAGCCCATGCGCCGCGACTAGAGAAGCCACCACAATGAGAAACCCACGCACCTTAACGAAGAGTAGCCCCCGCTCCCTGCAACTAGAGAAAGCCCACGCACAGCGACGAAAACCCAGCGCAGCCAAAAATTAAAAAAAAAAGAGTACAAAGAAAACAAACAAACAAACCAAGATTTAAAAAAAAAAAAGTAATCAAATTCTTCTTTGTTTTCCCAAGGCTGATACAGTGTCTGCTAAGCAAATGACACTTAGTAACTACTGAGGGAATGAATGAATTAAAAAAGGACCAGGGCTTTCCTGGTGGCGCAGTGGTTGACAGTCCGCCTGCCGATGCAGAGGACACGGGTTCGTGCCCCGGTCCGGGAAGATCCCACATGCCGCGGAGCGGCTGGGTCCGTGAGCCATGGCCGCTGAGCCTGCGCATCCGGTGCCTGGAGCCTGTGCTCCGCAATGGGAGAGGCCACAACAGTGAGAGGCCCGCGTACTGCAAAAAAAGACCAGACTTCCCTGGAGGTCCAGTGGTTATGACTCCACGCTCCAATGCAGGGTACATGGGTATGACCCCTGGTCAGGGAACTAAGATCCCACACGCCATGTGGTGTGGCCAAATAAGATAAAATTATTAAAAAAAAAAAAAGATCAAGAACTTCGGACTCATGTTTAACAGCTAAATGCCTCTTAAAGGGTAAGTGATTGTGGATGACTCCTTGAAATACATCAAAGGTTTTATTTTCCTTTTAGATTTATTCCATATTACAGAAGTTCTAGTAAAGTGTTACTGCCTTCTCAAAGTCTATGATCAAAGACAGCTTCAAAACTGGCATTTCCAAAAATACAAATTAAAACCACTTTACATTGGTTACATGAGTATATACATCTGTAAAAAGCTCATCAAATTTTATTCCTAAAAGATACAGTTTATCAAATGTAAAGTATACGTTAATAAAGTTGTTTTTTAAAAAGTTAGAAGGTACTTTACCTTAACTGTTCTAAAAAATTATCAATGTACTCTTTCCATTTTTCTGGAAATCCAAACATAAATTTCCTTATGAGATAATTTGGGTAACCTATTTAATGATAAACAAACAAAAATTACTAGATTTTAAAGTGATGTCATTAATTCATTAAATAATTTAAAAATATATACTTATTGCTTACTATGTGCCAGGCACTGTCATAGATACTGAGGATTCAGCAGTTAACAAAACAAACAAAAATCCCTGCCTTCATGAAAACTGGCTTCTAAACAGAAAGCAAACCAATAAGTAAAACACCTCGTTTGTTAGATGGTCATCGATGCTATGGAGAAAATTATGCAGTTAAGGGGAATAGGGATACCAGTGTGTTCATTCTAAAAGAGGAGAAAGGGGGCAGGCAGCTTTTCAAAAAAGGACAGAGACATTCTCACAGAAATAGCATCATTTGAGTAAAGGCCTAGGACACGAAGGAGTGAGCAATGTGGCAATATAGGGTTAAAGCAGTGGAAGCAGAGGGAACAAAGTGAAAGGGTATGAAGCAAGAGTGTGCCCGGCCTGTTTGTAGAATGACAAAGAAATCAGTGTAGTTGAAGTGGAGTGAGGAGAGGCTACTCAGATAGGTAACAGAGGTAGTTGGGGGAGATTATAAAGCCTTGGGGTCATTTTATAAACCGAGTGTTTTACTTTGGGTGAGATGGGAAGCTATAGAAAAATTCTGAGCGGAGGAGTCACAGAATTTGACTTACTTTAACAGGACTGAATTAGCTGCTATTTTGAGAACAATCTGTGGAAGTACATAGGGAGAAACAATGACACCAGTTAGGAGGTTACAGCAATGATTCAGACAAAAGATGAGGAACGTCCAGACCACAGCGGTGCAGCAGAGGCCTGGGTTCTGGATATATCATGGAGATAATGCCAGTAGGATGTACTGACATACTAGATGTGAGTGTGAGAGAAACTGAGGAAACTGGCTAGCCACTGGAACCATGGAAAGAGAGGAAGACTGTAGGCTATATAGATTTAAGGGAGAAGACCAGGTTTTAGACATATTAACTCTGAGACATCTGTAGACATCCTAGTGGAGATGTCAAATAAGCAGACAGAAAATGAGTTGAGTGGCTCAGGGACTACTCTTCGTTACAGATAAAATTTGGCATTTGTCAAAATATGAATGAGATTTAAGCCTAAAAGAAATCAGCACAGCACTGAGTATAGAAAGAGCCGTAGTCTATCCCATAATTCAGAGGCAAAGAAGAAAGAAAAATAAGCAAAGAAACTAAGAAGGAACAGGGAATGAGGCAGTATGAAAATATGGTATTCCAGAAGCCAAGTAAAGCAAGTGTTTCAAGAAGGTAGGTGTGATTAACTGTGTCAAGTGTACACTGGATTTAGCAATGTGGGGGCCACCAGTGACTTTGATAAGGGCTGTTTTGGTGAAGAATTGAGGATTAATGCGTGATTAAAGAGAATTCAAGAAAAAATGAGAAAGAATTCAAGAGGAATTAGATCTAAGTATAACAAATCGTCTGAGCTGTTTTGCTGTAAATGAGAGCAACAGTGGCTGAAAGAAGTGTGGTTAAAAGAGGGCCCCCCCTCCCAGTTTTACTGAGAAATAATTGACATACATTACTATAAACTTAAGGTGTACAGTATGACGGTTTGATTTACACATATTGTCAAATGATTACCACAATATGTTTAGTTAACATCTAGCATCTCATATAGATACAATAAAAAGAAAAAAGCAATTTTAAAATTTATAAATGTTATGAGATGAAGATTTAGCATCTGCACCTCTCCTTCCTCACCCTCTCCCCACATTTTTACAATAATTTTAATTATATCAAAGATTGTTTGCATCATTATAACAATGTGAATATTGTTCACTGCAGAACCTATTAGAATACTGTGATTATATGTCCTTTCCCCATGCTGTACATGTCATCACTGTGACTCATTTTGTAACTGGAAGTTTGTATCTTTTAACCTCCCTTACCTATTTCACTCATTCCCTGACCTCCCTCCCTTCTGGCAAGCATCTGTTCTCTTTATGAGTCTGTTTCTGTTTGTTCATTTGTTTTATTTTTTAGATTACACATACAAGTGAAATCATGTGTTATTTGTTTTTCTCTATTTCACTTAAAATTTATTACCTTCTAGATCCAGCCACGTTGTCACAATAGCAAGATTTCATTCTTTTTTATGGCTGAACAATATTCTTTTGTGTGTGTATATATATATGTACATATATATATGTACATATATATATATATATATATACACCCATCTTTTTTTATTTTAATGAATTTATTTATTTTTGGCTGCGTTGGGTCTTCATTGCTGCACACGGGTTTTCTCTAGTTGCAGCGAGCGGGGGCCACTCTTTGTTGTGGCAGGTGGGCTTTTCATTGCAGTGGCTTCTCTTGTTCAGAGCACGGGCTCTAGGCACGTGGGCTTCAGTAGTTGTGGCATGTGGGCTCAGTAGTTGTGGCTCAAAGGCTCTAGAGCGTAGGTTCAGTAGTTGTGGTGGACGGGCTTAGTTGCTCCGCAGCATGTGGGATCTTCCCGGACCGGGGCTCGAACCTGTGTCCCCTGCACTGGCAGGCGGATTCTTTGCCACTGCGCCACCAGGGAAGTCCCACCACATCTTCTTTATCCACTCATCCATCTATGGACACTTAAGCTGTTTCTGTATCTTGGCTATTGTAAATAATGCTGCAATGAACATAGGGGTGCATTTGTCTTTTCAACTAGCGCTTTTGTTTTCTTTGGAAAAATACCCAGAACTGGATTGCTGGATCATATGGTAGTTATACTTTTAATTTTTTGAGGAACTCCCATACTGTTTTTCCTAGTGGCTGTAAGGAATTTACTTTCCCACCAACACTGCATAAGGGTTCCCTTTTCTCCACATCCTCACCAACGCATGTTATTTCTTGTCTTTTGGATAATAGCCATTCTCACAGGCATGAGGTGATATCGCATTATCGTTTTGATTAGCGATTCCCTGATGATTAGTGATGTTAAGCATCTTTTCATATCTGTTGGCCGTCTGTATGTCTTTTTTGGGAAAAGGGTTGTTTCTTCTTGTGATATTGAGCTGTATGAGTTCTTTGTATATTTTGGGTATTAATCCCTTATCAGTAATATAGTTCGCAAATATCTCCTCCTATTCAGTAGGTTGCCTTATTTTGTTGACAGTTTCTTTTGCTGTACAGAAGTTTTTTAGTTTGAGGTAGTCCCATCTGTTTATTTTTTGCTTTTGTTGCCCTTGCCTAAGGAGACAGATCCAGAAAAATACTAAGGCATATGTCAACGAGTTTACTGCCTGTGTTTTCTTCTAGGAGTTTTATGGTTTCAGGTCTTACATTTAAGTCTTTAATCCATTTTGGGCTTATTTTTGTACATGGTATGAGAAAGTAGTCTAGTTTGATTCATTTGCATGTAGATATCCAGTTTTCCCAGCATCATTTATTGAAGAGGCTGTCATTTCCCCATTATATTCTTACCTCCTTTGTCATAAATTAATTGACCAAATAAGCATGGGTTCATTTCTGGGGCCTCTAATCTGTTTAGTTGATCTACGTGGCTGTTTTGGTGCCAGTATCATACTGTCTTGATTTCTGTAGCTTAGCAGTATAGTTTGAAGTCAGGGAGTGTGGTGCCTCTAGCTTTGTTCTTCATGTATTTAGGTGTTCCTATGTTGGGTGCATATATATTTACAATTGTTATATCTTTTTTTTGGATTGCTCCCTTTACCATTATGTAATGTCCTTTTTTGTGTTGTTACAAACTTTGTTTCGAATTGTTTTGTCTGATATAAGTATCGCTAACTTGGCTTTCTTTTCATTTCCATTTGCATGGAATACCTTTTTCCATCCCCTTACTTTCTATCTGCATGTCTTTAGATCTGAAGTGAGTCTCTTGTAGGCAGCATATATATGGGCCTTGTGTTTCTATCCATTCAGCCACTCTATGTCTTTTGATTGGGACCATTTAGTCCATTTGAACTTAAAGTGACATTTAAAGTAGTTACTGCCATTTTGTTAATTGTTTTCTGGTTGCGTTAGCAGTTTTTCTGGTTGTGTTTATAGTTTTTGGTTCCTTTCTTCTTATTTTTTTTTTTTTGCGGTACACGGGCCTCTCACTGTTGTGGCCTCTCCCGTTGCGGAGCACAGGCTCCGGACATGCAGGTTCAGCAGCCATGGCTCACGGGCCCAGGCGCTCCGCGGCATGTGGGATCTTCCCAGACCAGGGCATGAACCCACGTCCCCTGCATCGGCAGGCGGACTCTTAACCACTGTGCCACCAGGGAAGCCCTCCTTTCTTCTTTTGATGGCTATCTTTAGTGTTATATTTGGATTCCTTTCTCTTTTTTTGTGTATCTATTACAGATTTTTGGTTTGTGGTTACCATGAGGTTTATATATAGCGTGTGTGTATATATATTACATAGTATATATATATATATATATATATATAGTATATATATATAATTATTTTAAGTTGATGATCTCTTAAATACAAATGCATTCTAACAACCCTGATTTCTTACTCAAAAGAGGGTTTTTTGTTTTTCTTTTTGTTTTTTGATAGGAGAAAGGAGAATTACTGGAGTAATATCCTTGAGTAAAAGAGGATAGGAGCTGAAGCATAAATAGGTGGACACAGACAGGAACATGAAAAGTTTGTCCACAATAAAAGCAGGTACAGATACAAGCAGGTGAGCAAATGTGACAGAGAGGTTTTCTTTTGATTGTTCCTATTGCTCAAGTCCTCTTCTTGCTCCCCTACCCACCCAGATGAGAGAGGGAGGTAGGAGATGTGTAAAAATATGAAATAGTTATCAAGGATGATGGGAGAGTGAATGGATTAGGGAGCTGTGGTAGGATACCAAGGGGCACTAAGTGACCACAACTTGTTGCTGGTAATCATAAATTTAAGGTGGACTACTCAGATGTGTTTTTCTTCAGTCACTTTAGTTGTGTACAAGGCATAGGCAGAAAATTAGATTGTATCAGGACTGGGGTTGTACCGGGCAGGTTCAACAAAGAGAGGAATTGGGGAGCTAAATTATATTCTTATAATTTATTCTTACAATTTCTCAGAAACAAGGAACATTTGACTTGAATGTTTTTTAAATTACTGGACTTAAAACGTCAATAAGAGTGATTAAACCAGAGGAAAGGATCAACATACAGAACAGTTTTACATAATGTTGGCAATTTTATTTTTAATTTTGAGTTTTGATATATAATTTTAAAACACCTAGTAAAAAGCAAAAAAATGTATATCACTGTTAGATATATGGTTAATTGTTTCACTTAGTAAACTAATTCATCAATTAGTAATGACAGTTTTTACCTGCTTCTTTCATGGAAATCCGGTCTATCATTCCTTTTAATATATACATGTTGCCTGATAAAGTCCTAAGTTTGTTGTGCTTAATCCGTTCTATAATTGCATTACTGTGCCAATATATGTTAGTGATGTCTCTAGGAGAAAAAATAGCTTAGTTAAAACCAAAACATTCACATTTTACCAAGAGTCACAATGTACATATATAAGCATGTAAATTTATAACAGAAAGTAATAAATTTGCCCTCCAGCTACAATACTATTAATCTAATTACAAAACATTTGAGGGCCAAACATTGCAACAGAACTCAACCTCTTGGCTAATGTGATCCTCAGAGTACCAAGAAACTGTATTGTGGCCAAACTATACCCCTAGTATAAAATATATCATTAGCAAGAAAGCAGAGCCTTCTTCATCTGGTGCTAACAACTGATGCTCAGCTTCCAAAGGATGATTCCCTGTCCCTCTCCTCAGGGACTATACTGTGTTAGCTTTCACGCAGTTATATGGTTTGGATTATTCTAATCTTGTGTTTTTTCCCCTCACTACATAGCCAAATGTCTTTACCTTCCTCTTTGGAAAGTACCAAAAAGAGGTTCAAATTGGGAAAAAACAAACTGCAGTATCAAATCACTGACCCACAAATCTACTCTTCATACTTCCTTACGTGAAACTAAGAATAAATATAAAATAGAAAAAAACAAAGTATGAAGATGTATTAGATAAATGTTGAACATTCTTTGATTCATTAGATAACTAATAAGAAACATTCTAAATATAAATGTAATAAATAAGAAAGTTAAGTTCTTTAGTTTGGTCAAATGGAATTAAATTCATATATTATACTTTAACACAACATTCTCATCTTCTGTTCTTTCTATCTTTATTTTATTTAACAAATATTTAAATAGTACTCTAAAAGTACTGTTCTCAAAGTCTTATAAATATTAACTCATTTAATCCTCAAAATAACCCAAAAGGTAGGTCATACTATTATTGTCATCATGCAGCTGAAGAAAATGAGACTGAAAGAGGATAAGTAATTTGCCCAACTCATACAGCCAGTAAAGAACAGTAATGGGATTCCAACAAGGGCAATCAATGCTGCCTCTGGATATTAAGGAAACGGGTGCAAGGCAGGCAGAAATAAAGTGAGCAAGACAGATTTTATACACTTAGCTTATAAACTTGCAGGTAAGTATCTTGAACAGTGATACACTGTATTGTTTTATTACAACCTTTCATTACAATTTTTTTTTAACTACTAAGAAAATTGGTTTTGAAGAATAGGAAATTGTGCTAATAGAGTAGCAGAACTAGGCAAAGCCCACTTACCAGATGATGCTTTCGCTTTAGGGAGAACCAGAAAGTGCAAATGATTACTTAATATGTAGCTGTATGGCAAAGTGTTATATATTTTGATTTCTTTTCTGGATCAGTAATTTATATCTGGTTGTCCCAATTTAGATGTGAGAATCTGGACTGAAATGCATGTAGTAATATTAACTAATCATATATAATTAAGCAGATAATACCAGTTCACTTATTAGAACCTCTGAAAAAAATAAAGCACTGTGTATACAAATTGGAGCTGTCACTATTTTAAAAATAATTTGAGTTAACAGACAAAAGCAAGAAAGCTGGTTACAATCACAATGGTCATACTCATTTTACTTTACTGCCATCAGTTTGTAACCTCATTAGAAAGTCTTTGTTTTGTACCAAGATGCAATCTGTCATGCATCTCCTTTTAAGCTCTTACACACAAGTATATCTTATCACAAATTTTATTAAAAGAATACCGAAAAGTTACACTTACGTCAATTTTCCTTCTACACATATAGCAGTGTTATCATTGATGACTTTAATCATCCATTCCTGTAGCTGGACTACCTAATTAAGCATAAAATGAAGTATGTTATTTTTTGTATTACTTGTAGCATATGCATTACAAAATCAATTTACATTAAATTAAAAAAAAAAACTTAGACGAGTAATCCAAATGAGTCCTTAGTGTTCATCTACGTAAGAATCACATTCTATTTTAAATAGCAATAAGGTAAAAACTCCTATACATAATTGAACAAAAGATGAATGGAGAACTTCCCTGGTGGTACAGTGGTTAAGAATCTGCCTGTCAGTGTGGGGACATGGGTTCAAGCCCTGGTCCGGGAAGATCCCACATGCCACAGAGCAACTAAGACACAACTACTGAGCCTGTGCTCTAGAGCCCGGGAGCCACAACTACTGAGCCTGCGTGCCACAACTACTGAAGGCCGCACGCCTAGAGCCTGTGCTCCGCAACAAGAAGCTAGCCACCGCAATGAGAAGCCTGCGCACTGCAGCAAAGAGTAGCCCCTGCTCTCCACAAGTAGAGAAAGCCTGTGCACAGCAACGAAGACACAATGCAGCCAAAACCAAAATATAAATAAATTAATTTTAAAAAAAAAGATGAATGGAGAGAGACTGAACTGAGGTTGTACTGCAGAGTTTGCTCTACAATCCAGAATCAATTATACTTTAAATATTCTTATGTCAAATACCCTTAACCACTAGGAGGAAAAAAACACCTAAAATCCTAAGGTATCCATTAAAATACCCAAACTCACAAAAGACCCAATAACTTGGAGAAAAAAACAGTTGTGTAATATACATTTCACCATCACTCTTACCCTTATATAATTAGAGCTTTTTTGTTTTTTTGCAAAGTTGATTTGGAGTTGCATTCAATTTCCTATAAAGGTGACTGCTAGTAATCTATATTTAGGATTCTATTCCAAAGCAAACAACTGAACAGCTCAGAGAATTCTTTATTTTAGGACAAGTAAAATCCTACATTACTATAAAGGAAGATTTCTGTGAACAACTGTGTTATGAAATTATTGCTTTTATTGTGTAACAATCTAATAATGAACTATTTCTGATGACAAATACATCCATAAAAGTCATACTTTGAGTCGCCATTTTATATATAAAATTATAAACTTACATATAAAGACAAACTATTCTGTGGTAGTTTTATGCTGAGTCAGGAAACTAAAATAGAAGGGTATTCATTTAAAAAATTACAGGTAGGTAGGACTTGGGAAAGAGGCAATAAAATTTTTTTTTCCTACTTCTGCATTTGGAACTATAAGATATATCAAAGAATCTATCAGATGGAGATGGTATTAACAATAAAAGCTAACAGTAGGCAGTGTTCCAAGCATCTAAGATACACTGACTCATGTTATTCTCATAACACTAGGAGGCAGGTGCAATTATCTTCATTTCATAGATAAAGAAACTCTGTAAAGTCTAGTTCAATAACCTGCCCATATCACACAGAGCTAGTTAGTAGCACAGATGGGTTACAAATCTAGGAACTCTGGCTCCATGATCCTGTATCATACTGCTTACATAAAATACCAAGGGACTTCCCTGGTGGTCCAGTGAGTAAGACTCTGTGCTCCCAATGCAGGGGGCCCCAGGTTCTATCCCTGGTTGGGGAACTAGATCCCGCATGCATGCTGCAACTAAGAGTCCGTATGCCGCAACTAAGAAGTCCTCACGCAGCAACTAAAGATCCCACATGCTGCAACTAAGACCCCGCACAGCCAAAATAAAACAAAAAACAAAAAACAAAACAAAACAAACTATGTTGTTAAAAAAAGAAAGAAAAAATCGGAACTTCCCTGGTGTCGCAGCGGTTAAGAATCTGCCTGCCAATGCAGGGGACATGGGTTTGATCCCTTCTCCAGGAAGATCCCACATGCCGTGGAGCAACTAAGCCAGGGCACCACGACTACTGAGCCTGTGCTCTAGAGTCCGGGAGCCACAACTACTGCAGCCCACATGCCTAGAGCCTGTGCTCCGCAATAAGAGAAGCCACTGCAATGAGAAGCCTGTGCACTGCAATGAAGAATAACCCCCGCTCGCTGCAACTAGAGAACTCCCGCGCACAGCAATGAAGATGCAATGCAGCCAAAAATAAATTATTTAAAAAAAAAATCAAATATTCATTCATGAAACATTTGTTGAGCTCTACTATGCTCCAGGCACTGGTTTAGGCATGGGATTCATCCAGAAACAGAATAAAAAGGCCACCCTCTTTAGAGCCAACATTTGTGTTGTATGTGTGGTGGTGGTGAGGGTTGGTGAGGGGGCTGGAAACAAGCAGAGTGGTGGTGGTGATATTCAAATAAATGGACAAATAAATAATAAAATGTCAGGCAGTGATAATATTAAAAATAAGTATAAATGGAGGATTTTTTTTTAGACAGGATAGTCAGGGAAGGTCTTGGAACAGAGAACTGAATGAAGTAAGGAATGAGCCATATGGATATCTGGGAGTAATTCTTCCAGGTAGAGGGAACAAGTACAAAGGCCCTAAGTAGGTAGCAAGGAGGGCACAGTAGCTTGAAAAGAGTAAGCAAGAGAGATGAGATGAGGCTGGATATCTCCAGGATTGAATTATGTAGAGTCCTACAAGCTATGGTAAAGGTTTAGTGTTTTCTCTCTCTCTTTTTTTGGCCGCCACGCGGCATGCGGTATCTTAGTTCCCCAACCAGGGATCGAACCCATGCGCCCCCCATCCCCCACTCACAGCCAATGAACGTGCTGTGGAGTCTTAATCACTGGACCACCAGGGAAGTCCCAGTGATTTCTCTTGAGGTGAGAAGTTACTAGAGGATTTTGAGCAGAGGAGTGACATGATTTAATATTCTATTAAGGGGCTGCTGGGTAGAAATTGGCCTATATATAAAGATTCTGGCCTCTATTTAGAAAACAGACTGAAGGGGAGAGAGGCAATAGTGGAAACAGGGAGACTATAAGGCTACTGTAGTAATCCAAGAGATTACTGTGCCTTGGACTAGGAGGCAGTGGTTGAGCAATAAGGAGTGGTCAGATTCAGGACAGCAGAGACAACAGGATTTCTTCACAGTTTAGATGTGCAGTATGAGAGAGAGAGACAGAGACAGAGAGACAGAGAAAGAGAGAGAGAGAAAAAAAAGCCCAAAATGAACCTAAAATTTTTACCTAAGTATTTGGTGAAATGGTATTACTATGTACCAATATGGGACACAATGTTAAATTTGAGATGCCTATTAGGTATCAATAGAGAAGCTGTACAGATAATTGCATATGTGAGTAGGGTTTACAAGAATGTTCTGGGCTGGAGATATATATTTGGCAGCTATCAGCAGAGAAATGGAATTTAAAGCTATGGCACTGGATAATAATAGTCTAGAGAGAATCAGTTTCTAGGATTCTAGGGAATCCAACATTTACAGGTTGTTACAGGAGAAAGTAGCAAAGGGGAGTGAGAATGCCCAGTGAGGTAGCAGAAAATTAGGAGAGAGTTCCTAGAACCTAAGCAAAAAAGCAATACAAAATTTTGAGAAGGATGTTCTGATTCACTGTGTTAACCTCCCCCATGAGTGACAGAATAAGGAATAAGAATAATCATTGGATTTAATGATATGGAAATCATTGGTGAACCTGAAAAAAGCAATTTTCATGGCGTAGTGAATATGAATGTCCAAAGTGGAACTTGTTCAATAGGGAATGAGATAAGAAGAAATGATCACTGTGAATACGTATACCTCGTTCAAGGTGTTTTGCTGTAACAAGCAAACAAAAAAAGGGGTGGTAGCTGGAGTGGGATATGGAGTAAAAGGAAGGTAGACTTTTTCTTCATATTTTTTAAAAAACACAGGTCATGTTTCAGCATGTTTATATACTAATGGGAATGATGCAGAAGAGAGGAAAAATTTGAGGGAAGAAGGACAAAATCCTTTAGGTGGTAGGAGGAAATGAACTGGCCTTGAAAAGGAACACAAACTGTTCATCCATTTTAACAGAAGGAAACACAGAATATGTGGATATAGCAGCAAACAGACTGATAGATTTGGTGATGGGAATATGAGGTTCTCAATGAACTGAGAATGAGGAGGAAAGAGAAGGTTTGGAGGTTTTAAGAGAGAATAAGAGTGGCATACTCCTCTAGGAAAGTCAGAGCGTGGGGTGGATTGACAAGTGAAATCTAGCAGGACTGATGGGCAATACTGAGAGCCCATTTAAGGTTTGTTGTCAATTTTAAAATGAGACTAGTCAACATCGTTGTACATTTTGTTCCAGTCATCTTCTACTTCTCAGGTACAGATGTGTAGAAAAAAAAAAAAAAAAAAGTAAAATTTAACCAGGGTTACAATTTTGCCAGAGGAAGACAGAAAGAAAAGCAATAAACAGAACTGAGTTTAGTCAAGGGGATGATTATAATGATGGACCATGGACTCTATGTAAGGTAAGAGAAATGAGGACAGAAAAGATTTGATGAACTGAAGGTTGTCTTAGTGGGGTGGAGTACTGATGGTGGGGATGGGGGAAAAGTACTAGAGGTAGAATGATCTGAGCACACAGGATTTAATAGTGAGAGTGGGATGCTTGAAAGTGAGGAGCTGGTGCATGGACTGGCAAAGACAAGGGATGGGTATGACTAGAGTTGAGGGTATTGGTAGGGAGAACGTCTCTGAAAATCAAGAATTCAAGGAGGCTGGATAGATTATCTACATGGATATTGATGTCACAAGAGTTGACGACAGAAGGAGTAGCAGAGGAAAAAGTAACAGGTGTCAAAACCCTTCAACAGGATGCAAGCTCATGACTAGGAGGTTGCACTATAGATGACTACAAAAGGAAAGAGGGAGTGGTAAAGACTTATGACACATGCTTCAAAAGTTAGGGAGGGGGAAGGAGTGGTTTTAGAGAGAAGGAAGGAAAAATGACCTGCAACAAGGATGAGGAACAAGAGGAACGCACATTATATCATCTCTAGGTCCAACAGAATATGGGATATGGGAGAAAAAAGAGCCACCAATTAAGAGAAACAGCCATAATTTTAGTTAGAGCAAAGTTAAGAAATGTTCATAGAAGATTGAGAATATAACATTTTGCTAATGCTGTAACTCGAGTTCAAGAGAGCAATGTCATGTTGGGAGAGTTAAAGATGAGTGAGAGACTGGGTCAGACTAAGGCATGTACAGAACTGTATAGAGACCTGGGAGGCTTAGACTTTGTGTAGTAGCTGAGGTAAACAGTACTATAGAGGTGATGGAATTAATACTGTAGGGTCTCTTAGAACAGATGTCTTTAAATCTTTTACTTAATCCACCTCATATTTTTAAGACAACATCTAAAACTTTTCCTCGTAAGTCTAAACATTTGCAAATAATGCAATTTCCAATAAATACACTGAGATACGAAACTGTAACTGTTATATCACTCTTAAAAATGTAGACAGGGACTTCCCTGGTGGCACAGTGGTTAAGAATCTGCCTGCCAATGCAGGGGACACAGGTTAGAGCCCTGGTCTGGGAAGATCCCACATGCCGCAAAGCAACTAAGTCCATGCGCCACAACTACTGAGCCTGTGCTCTAGAGCCCGCAAGCCACAACTACTGAGCCTGTGTGCCACAACTACTGAAGCCTGCGTGCCTAGAGCCCGTGCTCTGCAACAAGAGAAGCCACCACAATGAGAAGCACGTGCACCACAAAGAAGAGTAGTTCCCTCTCACCTCAACTAGAGAAAGCCGTCGCACAGCAATGAAGACCCAACATAGCCGAAAATAAATAAATAAAATAAATTAAAAAAAAAAATTTAGACAGAATTCAAATATCATCTCAGTCTGATACCTACAAATCATCCTTTTAAAAATAAAGGCTCAAACCTTTACCAATTGGAAAGTTTACATTGTATCTTCCTCCTTGAACTTGAATTTCTATTACACTTCCTTCAGAGAACTTATCCTAATATAACATAGTTTGATGGTCTAAAGTCTTTCATTGATCCCTCTGTATTACAACAGAAAAACTTCTCAAATCTTCAGATGCTGTAACTCTTCTTTTAATTGCTCTGTTAATAGAAGCCCAAGAATCAGGAAAAATAAAATTTAAGAAGAATACCTCACTGTTCATCCCCAAAGGGAGTTGAAGACTGTACTAGTAATAGAGCAAAGTAAGAGTTAATGCCTAGGTCTTACTTTTAATCCACTGTTCTTTTCACTAGGCCACACTGCCTCTACACTAAATAATATCAAAACTCCAAAATGAAGATACTGTTAATGAGAAAGCAAAAGAGCTCATGCTCTTGAAGAATGGGGGTAAAAACAAATATACATCTGCCTTAAAAGTTTTCCTACCTTATTTTTTTTAACTCCATTAGTAATAGTTTGGCATGTACTTGGAGAAAGTTTCCAGGCATTGCTTTTGGATCTCTGAGGTATTCCTGTATGAAATCTTGGAGTTGCAAGCACAATTTTACATGTATCATTCATGGAACCTGGAAGATCAGTCTCCCTGGGCATTGTTTTCTCATTTCCTTCCTTAATTTCCTGTTTTGAAGTGCCTTCTGTTGTAATCTTACTATCATCAGAAACCATTAATTGACTGCCGTTTTTAAAAGGAACACAGAGAGTCTCAATGGTGGTATTTTGGGATTTTTCACAGGTAGAATCAGTGCCTTCTAAAACAAATGTGTCCTTTTTGGACTTAGTGGTTGCAACTGTATTCTCCTTAGAGTGAAGAACTTGTCTAGCCAACTGAGCTCTAGTTAATGCCTTGTTTGAGACTCCTGCAGCTGAATCATTTTCATGTTCTTGGTTCAGAATTGGAAGCTCTGCAAAAAACACAAAACCAAACAAAATTTATAGAAGGATAATATGAAATTAAAAGAGAGCAACAGAACAACTGAAAACTTCTAATATTTTTTTCCTTTTTAAAACTGAAGTATAATTGACTTAAATATTAGTTTCAGGGTATATAACATAAGGATTCAGTATTTTTACACATTACAAATAACACATAACATAGGATCACCAAAATAACTTGTTACCATCTGTCACCATGCAAAGTTATTACAATATGATTGGCCACATTCCCTATGCCGTACATGAAATCCCCGTGACTTATTTATTGTATAACTGGGAGTCTGTATTACTGATCTCCCTCATCTATTTCACTCATATCCCCCGCCCCAAGCAACTACCAGTTTGTTCTGTATATCTATAGGTCTGTTTCTGTTTTGTTATGTTTGTTCATTTGTTTTGTAAAACTGTTTATATTAAAAAGTCTTCAGGTTAGAAATGTTCCACCCTCCTGCCCAGTCTTTCCCTGAGTGCAGCTGGCTTTTACAACTCAATCTTTTATCCAGTCAATGCTTGTTGCCTACACAGGGGAAATAATTTTATCTAGCACATTTAGCTATACATTGAAATAACACACAAAACAAAACAAAAAGCACTTTACCATAAGTTAAATTGCACAGAGGTGCCTTCTTTTCCTGCTGATATTGAATCTTTTGCTTGACTGACAGGAAAATATTATTTGATGATTCTGAAGGAACTTCTTGGACCGAGGCTGCGTTTTTTGTTGTTTTTTTTTAAAAGAAAGAAGTTGAGTTGTATTAGTCACTGAGAAGAAAAAACTGCCTTAAAAAAAATCTTGGAATTGACTTAGGTTCAGTAATGATCCAACCAATAGTGTATACTTACGGAATATATGACAGTTACATTAAGTTTTTTCCCTTTATTATTGTCTCATGCCTTCAACAGATTATCTATACCTACATTATGCTGAGAAAAAAATTTTTTACAACTTCTCCACATTACTTGCCAACTCTAGACAAAAGTATACTACTGAACTTAGAAGCCTAGACATCTGGAATAACATTCTGTTTCTGCCACAAATCAGTGTTAAGGTTATATATGAAGTGCCATCCAGCCTTGAAAATTCTGATTTTGCTTCTGGTTGCTGGAAATTTCTAAAATGTGGAAGAACAGTTGAAAAGTTGTAACTTATACTTTAAAAATCAAAATGTTGAGATTCAGTAGCAGACTAAACCATAATTTATACTTCTTTGACATCTCTTTAGCAGGTCTTCAAAGGCACAAATCTGGTAGGCTTATCAACTAGAAAAATAGGAACTAATAGTATTATTTACATTTTATTCTGCTTTACATCCTAGATGGTTAGTTTTGTTTCTTGAACACAGAAATGAATTTCTTTCACACAAAAAGGGGAAGGTAATCGACTTAATTTGTACCAGAGAAGGAAAAACTGAATTATTTTATATGCTTAAATTTTTTTTTTTTTTTTTTTTTTTTTGGCGGTACGCGGGTCTCTCACTGCTGTGGCCTCTCCCGTTGCAGAGCACAGGCTCCGGACAGGCAGGCTCAGCGGCCATGGCTCACGGGCCCAGCCACTCCGCGGCATGTGGCATCTTCCTGGACCGGGGCACGAACCCACGTCCCCTGCTTCGGCAGGCGGACTCTCAACCACTGCACCACCAGGGAAGCCCTATATGTTTAATTTTAAATATTACACTTGAAAAAATTAGTAGTGATTATACTTTAATAAGTATGCCGCTTTGGCCTTAGAAACCTTAATATAAAGATTATAATGATGTGTCATAAAAGAAGGATAAGTTTCTATTTCTTTAATTCTTTCTACTAGAAATGAAAAAGCAATGTAGTAAAGATGAGTAGGTAATTTAATCAAATATAAATAACATGCTATATAGAACTTGGGCCGTTTATTTGAGAGTCCAAGGATCCATGCAGAGACTCTCCAAAAGATCTCTGAAAATATATACAAAATCTGTGTTTGTATATATGTGCATTTTCTGGGGAAAGATTCATCAGATTCTCAAAGTAGTCAGTTACTTCTCTCTAATTCCACTTTACATATAAAACATGCTTTAATATACATTATTTCATTTGCTTCCCCCTTTTTTCCTAGACTGCATGAGATTATTTTGTATACTCCCCCACCTCTATCCTAAACTCCCTTAGAAAACTCTGCTTTTTGTGTCAAAATATATCACTGTCTTTGAAATGCAACAATATACCCACAATCTATCGTACAGTAGTTAAGAGCATGGGCTTTCTAATAGATACCTGTATTTAATTCTCAGCCCATCACTTATTACCTGTGAGACACAGAGCAGATGTGACATATTTAAAAGCTCCAACTCCGAGACTATTAAATAAGCATGTAACCACAGTGTTTGCTCAAAGAATCAAAAGAAATAATGCATGTAAAGTATCTTTATCAATTATTGCAACTCATTAAAATCTCAATTTCAAGTGTCCCAATTTCTGATCACCTTATATCTTTCCAGATCATTCTCTCAAATTCACTGACTATCCCAACAAGACCTACACTTCTTCACACTTCTTCACCTCCTTCAGGTCTTCTTTTCTCTGTCTAACCAACTTAAATTTCATGGCCAATTGTGACCACCCCCTTGCACACACACCCCAACTCCTTTGTCCTTTTTTCACATCATCCTACAGGCATACCTCGGAAATATTGTGGGTTGAGTTCCAGACCACTGCAATAAAGTGAGTATCACAATAAAGTGAGTCATGTGAATTTTATTTCCCAATGCATATGAAAGTTATATTTATATTATATTGTAGTCTATTAAGAGTGCAACAGTCTTATGTCTAAGAAAAAAATGTACATAACTTAATTTAAAAAATTATTGCTAAAGACACAATTTTTTTTATAGCAACTTTACTGTTTAAAAATGGTAACCATTATCTGACAACACAGGATTGCCACAAACCTTCAATTTATAAAGACCGCAATATCTGTGAAGAGCAATAAAGTGAACTGCAATAAAACAAGGATGCCTGTATTTGGCAAAATTACAGTCCTGATAAAATCCAACCCCCTTCCTATTCCCCACCAGCACCTACGCAGCTAGAGGAAAACTCACAACCATACTGATTGGTCTTATCTAAATTCATGCCCACAAATCTCAAGTAAGTCCTTAACATTGCCCAGGAAATCAGGCCTAGGCCATTTACTCTTTCGCTCTCCTACACTATTCAAACCTCCTCAAACTTCAATACCTGCTTCCCATTCTCACTCTCAACTGATGACTTGACTTCGTATTTCAGATTATTTCTGAAGTCACATAACACTGCCTACCTTCTTGTTTGATGTTGTTTATGTTCCTAGCAAAGGCCAAACATCCACTTTTAGATTCTATTCCCTCTCAACTACTCAAGAATATCATACTACAAATCTCAGTTTTTCCTTCCCTAGTGGATCATTCCCAAAAGCACACCAAGATGATGTTATTTCACCAATCATTAAAAACAACAAGATCTTCTTAAACCATACTTCCCATATTTCTCTGCTCCCCTCAAAAAGAACTATGTTCACCATCATCAATTTCTCTCCTCACACTCTCTCTTGAACCCTCCTGAATCACGTTTTTGCTCCTATCACTCCACCAAAACTGCCCACATCAGTCATCAATGATTTCCACGTTGCTAAATCCAATAGTCAAATCTCAGCCTTCATCTTTCTTGACTGATTAGCAGCATTAGACACAGCTAATGACAACTTCCTCAAAAGCATTTTGTTTTCTTGGGTTTTTCTTCTTCCTCATCTTCTCAGCGGCCTTCAGTACTTCCTACTCTTTCTTCTAACTTCTAAATTTCAGGGTGCCCCAGGACTCATCCTTGAATGTTTTTTCTGTGTACACTTACTCCCTGATGATCCCATCTAATCTCATAGCTTTAAATACCATTTAGGTGCTAATGACTCTCAAATGTATTTTTCACACCTGGACCACTTCCCTAAATTCCAACTACTTTTTTTCAAAAGCCTAATTCACAACTACACTTCAATTTTTAACAGACATATCAAAATTGACATGACAAAAAACATAATTGCTGAGCCCCCAACCCCACTCCACCTCTGTCTGCCTCACCTCAGTTAAATCGTTCCAGTTGCTCGAGCAAAAAAAAAAACAAAACCAAATAAACAAATCACCCTTTATACCTCTTATATTCCCCATCCAATCTCTAAGCTAATGCTATTGGCTCTTCCTTCAAAATATATCTGGAATTCAGCCACTCCTTATTATCTTCACTGCTACCACCTGACCAAGCCAACACCCTCTCTCAACTGAATTACTTCATTAACTATTTCAAATTTAAAAATATAAGTCAGATCGTGTCATTCCTCTGCTCAAAACTCTCCAGTGGCTCCTTAATTTGTTCACAATAAAAGCCCAGACTCTAACATTCACCTATAAGGCCCTGCATTATCTGACCCTCTATTTATCCACTCCTTCCCAGCTCTGTCCACTCACCCATGATAATCTCACAGCTAGTCCACATGCTTCTATTTCAGGGCATTTGTACCAGCCGAAGGATCATCCTTCCCCATTCAGTTCCCAAGATATCTGTATCTAGTGCCTCCTTCAATTTTTGGCTCAAATGCCACCTTATTGAAACATTGACCACCCCATTGAAAATTACAACCTCCTCCAACTCTCCCCATCAAGCTTACTCTTTTTCTTTCCAGAGCATTTTTCTTCTATTATACCCTAAAATATACTTATTTGGTGATCTGTCTCCCAGCAACTGCATGTAAGCTAGCTTCATGAGGGCAGAGATTTTTGTTCATTTTGTTCACTGCTCTATCCCGCCCGAGTGCCTAAAACAGTATCAGACACAATAAACACTTTTTAAACCAACACGTAATAAAACTAACCTCTTAGTGAACTGTCTTCTGGTTGGAACGATTTGTTGTTTTCCTTTCCTTCACAGAGGTAGGTATGCCGTAATACTCCTTCCTCAGCTCCGTTAGGAGTGAAAATTTTATTACTTTCATTTTTTGGTGGTTCCAACAAACTGTTTCTTGATGCTTGTTCTTGCTTGTTATGTAGTACTTTTTCTTTCATTCTTTGAAATATTTTTCCTGGTGATTCATAGCTTGCTTTATTTTTTAATCCATCCTTGTTGGGTTTTATAGCACTGATATCAAGAGAACTGTTAGAGGTGGTGGCCTCTGCTAGCATGGTAGATTGAAATATATTTTTATTATTAAAAACTGTTATTCCTAGGAACTGACTCTTTTTATGGTCATTCCATTTTAAAGAGGACTTCTGATATTTCGCCAAATCTTTTACAGGAGTAAGTGTGCCTGAAGGAATGCTGTCAAAAAAGACTGCATGCATGGGCATATTTCTCCTCTGAGAAGATGTCTCTGAAGACAAGTGAATTCCTGGATGTTTCAAAGGTGTTGCAATCATCTTGATAAACAGTAGCAACAAATTTCCTCTAACAGAATATTCACTTAAACACAATTTTCAGGATAGACCTTCAGCAAGGGGCCAGAAGAACCTGTAGTTCAATGTGAAATCAACCTTTACCATGCTTTGGTACAGAAAAAGTTAAGTTTATTTGCTTTCCATAACAACATTGTACTAATTAAAAGGTTTAATCGGTTCATAACAACACTGGATAATCTATAGCTCACAAATCAGACGAAGATTTTATATTTTTGTTAAAGCCTCATTTTACTATTTTTCAATGATAAACAGTTTGGCTTTTAAATTTACTTCTCTACGAAAAACCAGCTTTCACCAAGTCTTCTACTTAATCGCTCTAGGGGCTGAATTTTGAATATCTGTTTTGGAAATTTATTTGAACCTCAAGTCCTGGAAGTTCCAATCTAATATTTGCATCAAAAACCATTAACTGACATTTGCATATGGCACTACATTAAGTTATAAAAGATCAAATTTCACCAATATGGTTTTTCCTTTTAGGCACTTAAATTTTAAGGCAGCAGCTACAATGATATATCCTAATGAAGGCTAAAAATCCATTCAAATTTTAAGTTAAATAATCTCCAATCCTGATTTTGTTATGCTGCAGAACATTTTAATTGTGAGGTTTTTGTTTTAAAAAAACCTCAAATCAAAAGTAAATTATATACATTCCAATTTTCTGAACACTTACCGCTACTTAGAACTTTTAGAGGAAATCATGCACTTGGGCATACATGGTCTTAGACTTGTTTTAGCTTGCTTCTTACATATAAATTTTATTTCCCACACCTAGAAATTAAGATTCTAGGTGATGAACCATACAGTTACATTCTGTAACAGCTGGTAAATTAACAAAATATTTCAACCTGAGGAGCTCAGAACTTGAAAATCTAGATTTATAGCATCTCTGATCACTGAATTTATAACTATTCCAACCAGTCTTTGACATCATATAAACATAAAAAGCCTATTTCAGAAAATACAAATGCAATCAGACCCAAGACATCAAGTATCTTTATCTACAGTAACTTCTGTAAGAAACAAATATGCAAGTTAAAAAGTCATATACGAATTACCATTTTATCCAACAGTTTATAAGAGAAAAAAAGAAGGAAATATTCCTCGATAACAAGAGCTGACAAAAAAGGGTTATCCTGGGAATGACACAAAAACCACTGAATTCAGCAAAATGTATTAATGTATATATTTATGCATTTGGCAATGTGGTAGTGACAGGAACGCTGTGCTGAGAGTTGTAATACTCACTAGCCATTCTCTCTAAGCTCTCAAAACAAAAATGAATAAACTGGGACAATTGCATGGAAAGAAGGCAAAGTATGTGCAGGTTTACACAATCTCAATTCCTTAGAACCTAATGAAATGCTCAGCAGGAAGTATAAACTGCAAATAAACTAGCAGAACTAAGAACAGGCCCAATCTGTAGCACAACAGTCCTCCCCCCCCCCCACTTCTCCCAGGGGTGGATACATTATAAGACCCCCAGTGGATGCCTGAACCTGTGGATAGTGCCAAACCCTATATATACACTATGTTTTTTCCTTTATGTACATATGTATGATAAGGTTTAATTTGTAAATTAGGCAAAGAATAAAATAAAACAATTATAACAATATACTGTAATAGGGACTTCCCTGGCGGTCCAGTGGTTAAGACTCCGCACTTCCAATGCCGCAGGGCACGGGGTCGATCTTGGTTGGGGAGCTAGGATCCCACAGGCCACGCGGCACAGCAAAAATAAATAAAAAATAATAAAAAGTAATAAAAGTTATGTGAATGTCATCTCTCTCACTCAAAATATCTTATTGCACAAATTTAATGCCTTTCCAACTTAACTAAGCATTTATCATGCACTGTGGCTGTAAACTTTTGCAGTTTGGGGTGCAATAGCAAAATCTGCATGCATTTCTTTTTCCTTCTTCACAATTTTACAAATAGAAGATTCGGTTTTCACCCAGACCTTAACAACCTCAGCATACAATTGTTTTTTCCTCATTAAGTCAGGAGCTTTCAACTTTTCACTTAAAGGAACCAATTTACAGCTTCTCTTTGGCATATCCAAATTGCCAGCACCACTACTCTTGTGTTTTGGGGCAATTATTAAGTAAAATTAGGGTTACTTGAACACAAGCACTATGATACCTCGACGACAGTTCATCTGATAACCGAGAGGGCTGCTAAGTGACTAATGGGTAGGATATGCTGGACAAAGGGATGATTACCATCCCTAGCGGGACAGTGTGAGATTTCATCATGCTACTAAGAAAAGCATGCAATTTAAAACTTATGAATTGTTTATTTTTGGAATTTTTCATTTAATATATTCAGACTGCAGTTGACTGAAGGTAACTGAAACTGTGGGCCGAGGAAAGTGAAATGCAGGTAATGGGGGGGGGCGGTGGGGACTACTGTACACACGCAGAACTGTTCATCTAAAGGCAGATAATTACAGTCACAGTGAAAGTCTCCAAGAACCAGCACGCAACTCCTCTCTTTCATGTTGCCCAACTTCTTCCTTCTCAATTCAAACATGTAGTAGGATTGAGAGGTGTGTAGTCAAGATTCTGAAAATCCTCAAATTCCACTCACCCTCCCCAAAAGATGCAGAAAGTTCCTCTTTAAATAAGAAAGAGAAGCACCTCTTTCTTATTTATGTGATAAAGAGCAACTCAATAGAAGCGAAAAGAGTTGCCAATAGTTGCCAGGTTTCAGTGCGGTTGGTGGAAAAGAGAAGGATATATATATATATAAAAAAAATCACCCACGATTTTCTCTGACCATAGAGGCTTTGCATAATAGATAAAGAAGAAAAACAAAAAGCCACTGGGTAGAGGCCACTCAATAAACACCTGAAGCCCCATTCTCTTCCTAGTTAACAGAAAAGCAAAACAAAGAAAATAAATCATGATGCTCAGACTCTAGGACTGAAGAAGAGAAGGTGAATTCTAAAATGGTATGCTTGTGCCTTCATTAACTGCTTAAAACTATTGGAAAATCTAATACTTATAATTTATTCTGAAAACTGACAAATTCTGATGTACTAGGAAAAAATGGCTATTTATTCAAAATAAATACTCAGACATGGGAAAACCATTATATAAAAAAAGCTAGCTATGAGCATTTATAGTATGTAAAAGGCAGGCTAAACAACTGTTATCATGGATATGATACTGAAAGTAATTTTTACTCTTCTTCCTAAGAAGACATGAAAAGTTCTAGGAATTTACTGTTGTGGTAATATTAATAATAATTATAATGGAATGGATCAAAGGCACACTAACCAAAACTGGGAGACAAGAGTTGGGAAAAAAATGAGAGGAACACTAAGTTAACTGGCAAATGATACATTTGGGGGGAAAAATGCAGCACATGACACACTGAGGGCCAATATAGATAACATTCAAAGAAACCAAATGAATCAATTTAAAGAAATGATCAACACAAAAAATGGCCAAAGGACATTTATGGCAATTAATGGAATACAAAAGGCCAATAAATGAGTCAAAATGACACTCCATTTTACTAATAAATGAAGAGCTGCAAATTAAAACAGTGAGACTTCTTATGATCATCAGATTGGTAAAGATTAATTTCAAAATATAGGTTTGCATGCCAATGGGCAAGAAATTCTACTTAAAATTATTTTTCTTATAGAAACATCTACATAAGAATGCAAATATATATGTGGTAATAATAGTCAACATCTACTGCATATACATCAGATACTACTTAACCTTACAGCAATTCTTAAGAGTTAAATACTGTCATTATTCCCATTTTGAAGATGATGAACCTAAGGCATTGAGTCGTTAAATGACCAGTCCAAGGTCCCATTTACAATGGTTAAGAGCAGGACCTCAGTCTATCTGATTTCAAAGCCCAAGTTCTTAAACAGGCCCTATACAAGGATGTTCACTTAAGTACTGAGCTAATTATAAAGAATCTAGATGTCTACCAAGATGGGACAAAATTCTACTGTTCACTGAAGTACCAGGCTAACTAGAAACAATCTAGATGTCTATAAATATGGGACAAAATTCTGCTACATCCATACAACTGAATTCTATGTATTCAATAAAAGGATATACACACACACGCATATACTGATATAGAAAGTAACTAGACTAAATTAAAAAAGCAACAAAACAGGACGTACAATTGAATTTCTGTAAAAAAAAAAAAAGTCAAAAATAAACAAACACATCCAGGAGCATAAAGCATAGGGCAAAAAATCTGTAAGTGAGTATACCAAATTGTAAACAGCGTTTACCTTTGAAGTGCAGCGTTTATCTTTGATGAAGGGGCCTCCCACTACCTAAATAATTTTACTTACATCTGAAAATATTTGCAACTAATATGTAATTTAATCAGAAGAAAACAGAAGCTGGATGGATCAATTGTTTCTTTAGCTCTGTGGATGCTGGGTTCCAAGGTGAAGAATCGGGCAGTGACGCACACAATTCTCCTACCTGGTAATCTTAAAAAAAATTTTTTTTTTTCTATAAGTGATTTTAGAAGAAAAGCCTGGAGCGCTCACCATCGAAACGAATCCGAAGGAAAGTAGTCTACTCTCGATAACTACAGTAGACACGCAACAAATACACCCCGAATGAATGAGTAGTTGTGATACTACAGCCAAAGCCAGAAATGTACAGAAGTCCGAGAGAGCCCAGAATGCTGAAGCGCTGAGACTCGCGGCGCCAGAAAGGACCGGAGGCAGGAGGCGAGGGAAGAGGGGCGGGGCGGCCGTACCTTGGACGAAGGGCCTATAATGGCAAGACGGCTGCAGTCTGGGCTCGGCTTCGTGCTGGGGAGAGGGGGACCTGGGCGCCCCAAGACTCTCGCCTCTGGCCCAAGTCGGCCCCAGCTCGCAGCGGCCTAGCCCCAGGTGACGCTCACTTCCTCGGTGAGGTTCCCTAACCCCTAAACTGCTTGGGAATTCAAATCTGAAGAGCCCGCCCTCCCAGCCAGCCCGGGATTGGCGCGCCCAGGAACTGCGTCACCGTGCGTCTCACTGGGACTCAGGAAAACTGGGGGTGGTCCCCGCTCCGCGTGAGCAATGCTGTTTCCATAAAAACTGGGCAACCCCAAGCTGCACCGGGTACTGAGCACGCACCTATAGTCGTTCTCGGACTCGTTTTTTCTTCAGAGGGGCGCCAGCCCCACGTTCCGTCGCTCCTCCCGAAATGCTCTGCGGCAGGAAGGCGTACGTCGGACGTCGACTGCGCGCTCCCGCACTACTGCAGTTTAAGAAGCTTGGCCCTTCCCGGCTACCCTCCTGCTGTATGTGTGAAAGCTAACAGCTTTTGGTTAGGGCTACCTTCCTAGTGTGAGGAAACGGCTTGCTGAATACGTTTGAGAGAGCTTTTTAGTTTCCTCAGACCGTCAGATATCTGAGGCCGAGAAGGAACGTTTTGTTCTTAGGGGATAATGGACTGAATTCAAAGTTATACTTGCAATGGGATGTTTAGTTTGAGCTATTCCCCCAGGAAGTGTGATTTTTTTTTTTAAACCTGATTGTCTCGAATACTACTCTGGGTTGCGATGCAGTTCGTGACAGTCGCGTTTAGATTTATCCCTGCCTTAGGCTACTCCCAGTGATGCTCTGCTCTGACTAACCACCGCGGAGTACTGTGTATCCTTCGCCTCAGCGCCCCGGCACGACGCGGTTGCTGGCTGGAAGCATTGTGTAGGGTACCTTGTTTCAGTCTTGGCGGAGGAGGAGCCAGAGGAGTAACTAGTGTTTTCAGCCTTAAATCCCTTCCAGCTCCAATCCTGCATCTTCTGTTCATGGACTCCGCCCCCCTCCCCCACCAAGTCAGCATTTAGGACAGGAGAGTTTATTTTTTGCCTCATCCAAGAAAATTCTCAACATCCTAGAGTCATGTATCGCATTTGTCCGTTAAAACTGGACTGAAATGGTTGTAATGGATTAATTTTTTTAAAGTGACTTTTGCGATTCCCTCTTCTAAATCTTGTATCCACTAAGTCTTGTGCTCACCGAATATTCAGAATCTAAAATATAAGTTTAAAACATCAAATGAATGCAAGTAAGGAAAATAAACCAGTTGGGGGTGGGAGGTGGGAAGCAAATCATAGATCAAATGAAGTTTCTGTCTGTGCAGCATAATGAGAAAATGGCTGGACATGGATTTGCACCAAATTTATGGGAAAAACCAGACTTAAAATATATGTTTAGTGTCGTCTATAAAATGCATTTTGTGGGATAGAGAGACTTTGAAAAGACAGGCATTCATACTTCAAAGTATCTGAAATAGAGGTATGAAAGATTTCTGTTCCTGATGATGGAGATAGCCATGGCTCACACATTCAGCCAAAACAGGAACCTTGAAATATTAACGGGAGACCCTCAGAATTACAGACTTTAATTTTTTAATTAGCCACTTCTCATGTGAGAAATGACTAGGATCTAGCATGCTCCAGGGTGAACAGCAACAGGAATTTACATAAAGGTGACTAATAATTTTCCAAGGAAAGCTGGATAACAGTTTGTGGATAAAAAGTGCAATGAGAAGGCATACAGGCCAAGGGACAATGTTCATCTGTCCAATGGGACATCAACATGCTGCCCTGGATGGACCCTCTAAGTTTGTGTCTGCCAGGTGACGAGCAGACGAGCTTCTTATCGTCACAGCCAGGCACCTGGGATAACCTGCCCTAAATCTGTAACTCCTGGGAACACATACAGGCTTACTTAGGGTCCAGAAGACAGACATAGGAGGAGAAGACTGGAATCCTCATGTTGTGTGGGAGTTGCTGCCAAGAGATCTGGGTCTGCTTAGCCTGGAAGAATATTCCTAGGACAATGGTAAGTTCCATACTAATTGACCATATAGCATTTTGAGGAGAATTATAAAAAAGATGCTCTTTCCTCAAGGTCAGTGGTTCTCAACCAGGGATGATTTTGCACCCCAGGGGACATTTGGCAATGTCTGGAAATATAAATGTCACAACTAAGAAGGGTGCCACTGCCAGCTGGTGAGTAGAGGACAGGAATGCTACGAAACATCCTATAATGCACAGGACAGCTCTTCCACTACAAAGAATTATCAAATCTAAAATGTCAGTAATGCCAAGGTTGAGAAATCCTACGTTTGGAAAATGTAGCCCTGAATTAGGATTTTAGTCGCCTCTCACTCTCTCAGCTGTGTTGCCAATGTAAGGCACAACTGTGCAACCACTACGCCCTTTCTGGACTTAGAGGAGGGATGAGGATGGAGTCAACAGTGAGGTTATCGAGGCTTTTTAGAGGATGACCCTTCAATAGAAAAGCCTGCCAAGGAGATTATTTTGTGATAGAGACAGTATACAAACACACAAACATATATAAACATACCATTACAAATTGTAATAAGTGCTATGAAGATGTATCAGTTTGGGTCCTGCAGGAAGCTGATGGTGAGATGCAGTTAGGAGTATAAGAGATTTATTGGGAGATAAGGCCTGTGAAAGTTTTAAGGGGTGGAGAAAGAATTGGGCCTGGTAAATCTTCAGGCTTTGATGCAAATCAGACATTTGTGAAAGAAAAAGGGAGAAGGAAGCAGAATTGGTCAGAGGGAGCCAAAGATTGCAATACAAATTGACAGAGTGTTGGCTAATGAAGTATGGAGTTTGGGGGTAGCCCATCAGAGGACTCCCGCAGTGGGCAGAAGTAGGCAGGCCCTGAAATCCATCATGCTGGAGATGGGAAGAACATGCCTTGGCTTAAAGGCTTAAAATTTTTTTTTTAGCTGAGATATAATTGACATATAACATTATATTAGTTTCAAGTATACAACAAAATGATTTGAATATGTATGTATTGTGAAATGATCACCACACTGTGTCTAGTTAACAACCATTCTTACACATAGATACAATTTTGTTTTTCTTGTGATGAGAACTTATAAGATCGACCCTTTTAGCAACCTTTTTTTAGTTAATTTTTTTCTAAGATCTACCCTTTTAGCAACTTTCAAATATACAGTTCAGTATTTTTAACTGTAGTCATAATGTTGTAAATTATACCCACAAGACTTCTTTATTTTATAACAGAAAGTTTATACGTTTTGACCACCTTCTTCTACCTGTCCAACCCCAACCCACACCTCTGGCAACCACCAATCTATTCTTTGTATCTATGAGTTTAGTTGTTGTTGTTTAATTTCACTATTAATTGTGAGATCATACAGTATTTTTCTTTCTCTGTCTGACCTATTTCACTTAGCATAATGCTCTCCAGCTCCATGCATGTTGTTGCAAAGGCAAGATTTCCTTCTCTTTTACAGCTGAATAATATTCCATTTTATATATATATATATATATATATATATATATACACACACACACCACATTTTCTTTATCCATTCATCCATCAGTGGACACTTAGGTTCTTTCCATGTCTTGCGTTTTGTAAATAATGCTGCAGTGAACATGGGGGTACAAATATCTTAGTCTTTTTTTATTTGGTTAAATACCCAACAGTGGAATTGCTTGATTATATAGTAGTTCTATTTTTAATTTTTTGAGGAATCTCCATACTGTTTTCTATAGTTGCTGCACCAATTTACATTCCCTCCAGGTGCGCACAAGAGTTGTCCTTTCTCCATATCCTTCTCAACACTTACCTCTGGTGTGCCGCTTGTGGGATCTTAATTCCCTGACCAGGGACCAAACCCGAGCCCCCAGCAATGGAAGCTCAGAGTCTTAACCATTGGACCGCCAGGGAAGTCCCATGACAACATTTCTAACAGGTGTGAGGTGGTAGCTCACTGTGGTTTCGATTTGCATTTCCCTAAGGATTAGTGATGTTGGGCACCTTTTCCTATACCTATCGGCAATTTGTATGTCTTCTTTAGAAAAATGACTATTCAGTTTCCCTGCCGATTTTAAAATCATATTTGTTTTGCTATTGAGCTATAAGTTCTTCATATATTTTGGATGTTAACCCCTTATCAGGTTTATGATTTACAAGTATTTTCTCCCATTCTGTAGGTTGCTTTTTCATTTTGTTTATTGTTTCCTTTGCTGTGCAAAAGCTTTTTAGTTTTAGTTTGATCTAGTCCCACTCATTTATTTTTCCTTTTGTTGCCTTTGCTTTTGGTGTCAAATCCAAAAAATCATTGTCAAGAACGATGTCAAGGAGCTTACTGCCTATGTTTTCTTTTAGAAGTTTTATGGTTTCAGGTTTTATGTTTTTTTTCTTTTTTTTGCGGTTCGCGGGCCTCTTACTGTTGTAGCCTCTCCCGTTGCACGCAGGCTCAGTAGCCATGGCCCATGGGCTCAGCCGCTCCGCGGCATGTGGGATCTTCCCGGACCAGGGCACGAACCCGTGTCCCCTGCATCGGCAGGCGGACTCTCAACCACTGCGCCACCAGGGGAGCCCAGGTTTTATGTTCTTTAACCATTCTTTTCAGGTCTTTCACCATTTTGAGTTAATTGTTGTATATGGTGTAAGATAGTGGTCCGATTTCATGTGTGTGTGTGTGTGTTTGAGTGTGTGTGTGTTAGTTTTAGGTGTATAGCAAAGTGATTCAGACATATATATATTTGTAAATATATATATATATTCTTATATAAGATTATTCAGATTCTTTGCCCTTATTGGTTTTTACAAAATATTCAGTATAGTTCCCTGTGCTATACAGTAGGTCCTTGTTGGTTATCTACTTTATATATAGTCGTATGTATATGTTAATTCCAAACTCCTAATTTAGCCCTCCCCCCTTCCCCTTTGGTAACCATAAGTTTGTTTTCTATGTCTGTGGGTCTATTTCTGTTTCATATATAAGTTCATTTATATCTTTTTTAAAATTCCACATATAAGCAATATCATATGATATATGTCTTTCACTGTCTGGCTTACTTCACTTAGTGTGATAATCTCTAGATCCATCCATGTTTCTGAAAGTGGCATTATTTCATTCTTTTTTATGGCTGAGCAATATTTCATCGTATATACATATGCCACATCTTCTTCATCCATTCATCTGTGAATGGACATTTTTGTTGCTTCCATGTCTTGGCTATTGTAAATAGTGCTGCAATGAACATTGAGGTGCATGTACCTTTTCAGATTATGGTTTTCTCTGGATATATGCCCAGCAGTGGGATTGCAGGACCATATACTAACTCTATTTTTAGTTCTTTAAGGAACCCCCATACTGTTCTCTATATTGGCTGTACCAATTTACATTTCCTCCAACAATGTAGGAGAGTTCCTCTTTCTCCACACCCTCTCCAGCATTTATTGTTTGTAGACTTTTTGATGATGGCCATTCTAACTGGTGTGAGGTGATACCTCATTGTAGTTTTGATTTGCATTTCTCCAATACTTAGTGATGTTGAGCATCTTCTCATGTGTTTGTTGGCCATCCATATGTCTTCTTTGGAGTAGTGTCTATTTAGGTAAGTTGCTTCATTGGCAAATATTTTCTTCTGTTCTGAAGGTTGTCTTTTTGTCTCATTTATGGTCTCCTTTGCTGTGCAAAAGCTTTTAAGTTTCATTAGGTCCCATTTGTTTATTTTTGTTTTTATTCTTATTACTCTAGGAGGTGGGTCGAAAAAGATCCTGCTGTGATTTATGTCACAGAGTGTTCTGCCTATATTTTCCTCTAAGAGTTTTATAGTATCCAGCTTGCATTTAGGTCTTTAATCCATTTTGAGTTTATTTTTGTGTATGGTGTTAGGGAGTGTTCTAATTTCATTCTTTTACGTGTAGCTGTCCAGTTTCACCAGCATGACTTATTGAAGAGGCTGTCTTTTCTCCATTGTATATTTTTGCCTCCTTTGTCATAGATTAGTTGACCATAGGTGTGTGGGTTTATCTCTGGGTTTTCTAGCCTGTTCCATTGATCTATATTTCTGTTTTGTGTGCCAGTACCATACTGTCTTGATTACTGTAGCTTTCTAGTATAGTCTGAAGTCAGGAGCCTGATTCCTCCATCTCTGTTTTTCTTTCTCAAGATTACTTTGACTATTCGTGGTCTTTTGTGTTTCCATACAAATTGCAAAATTTTTTGTTTTAGTTCTGTGAAAAATGCCATTGGTAATTTGATAGGGATTGCACTGAATCTGTAGATTGCTTTGGTTAATAGAGTCATTTTCACAATATTGATTCTTGCAATCCAAGAACATGGTATATCCTCCATCTGTTTGTGTCATCTTTGATTTCTTTCATCAGTATCTTATAGTTTTCTGCATACAGGTCTTTTGCCTCCTTAGGTAGGTTTATTCCTAGGTATTTTATTCTTTTTGTTGTGATGGTGGATGAGATTGTTTTCTTAATTTCTCTTTCTGATATTTTGTTGTCAGTGTATAGACATGCAACAGACTTCTGTGTATTAATTTTGTATTCTGCAACTTTACTGAATTCATCGATGAGCTCTAGTATTTTCCTGGTAGCCTCTTTAGGAGTTCTGTGTGTAGTATCATGTTTCTGCAAACAGTGACAGTTTTACTTCTTTTCCAATTTGGATTCCTTTTATTTCTTTTTCTTTTCTATTGCTGTGGCTAGGACTCCCAATTTCACTCTTTCGTATGTGGCTGTCCAGTTTTCTCAGCACCATTTATTGAAGTCAAAGGCTTTATTAGATCCTGAAGTCCATGCAGTTAAAGTCTGTCAGATAGCTGTACGCATCATATAGCAATGACACTCTTTCATAAAAGGAGATTAGAATTGCACACTTCCATGCCTATCATAGGAGGATAATTAAAAGGTCATAACAGAAGTTTCTTTTCTTTTTTTAAAAAACATATTTATTTATTTGGCTGTGCCAGGTCTTAATTGTAGCATCTTTTTTTGTTGTGTTTTTTTTCTGTTTTTTTTTT